TGGCTTCGGCCTGGCCCAGACTTAGCTTCTGTGGCCAGTCACTGGAGCTTGAACCAGTAGGTGGATGACTTGTCTCTCCTCTATCACTCTTTCAAATAAAAAAATGAAAAATTAAAAACTAGGAACTGACAGTGGATAAAGCAGCCACCTGCAATGCTGGCATCCCATGTAGGTGCCAGTTTGTGTCCCAGCTGCTCCACTTCTGATCCAGCTCCCTAATGGCCTGGAAAAACAGTAAGTACTTGAATCCCAGTCATACACAAGACATGGATGAAGCTCCTGGATCCAGCCTGGTTCAACCCAGTTAGCCACTTCTGGAGAGAACCAGCAAATGGATGTGTCTTGCCTCCCCAATTTTATTTTTAAAAGATTTTTTATTTGAAAGGTAGAGTTACAGAGACAGGTCTTCCATCTTCTGGTTCATTACCCAATGCCTCCAATGGCAGGGTCTGGCTCAGGCCATAAACCCAGAACCGGTTCCCATATGGGACGCTGGCACTGACAAAAGCTGCTTGACCTGCTATACCACAGCACCAGCCCCTGTAACTGATTTTCAACTAAAAACAAAACAAAACAAAACAACAACAAAACAAAACAAAAAAAAACCCTCCAATTTCTAGAAGAAACAATTCCTAATATGCTCAAGAACCTTTACACTCTAGCCTCCACTGACCTTAACCCATTCTCTACCAACTTTCTTTCACATACTCTTATCACTTCAAAAAGTTCACACAATGGGCCGGTGCCATGGATCACTTGGCTAATCCTCCACCTGTGGAGCCGGCACCCCAGGTTCTAGTCCCAGTTGCTCTTCTTCCAGTCCAGCTCTCCGCTGTGGCCTGGGAAGGCAGTGGAGGATGGCCCAACTGCTTGGGTCCCTGCACCCGCATGGAAGACCAAGAGGAAGCACCTGGCTCCTGGCTAGTGCAAATCATTACACATTCTCATAAAACATTTTTAATGAACTTTCTGAAGACCATTGAAGTTACTCATAATACACATTTTTAGAAAAGATTTGAAAAGCAGTTAGAGACAGAATCTTCCATATGCTGGCTCACTCCTCAAATGGCTGCAACGAGGAATCAGCTGGACCAAAGCCAGGAGCCAAGAGCTTCTTCCAGGTCTCCTAGGGACCCAAGGACTTGGGCCATCCTCCACTTTCTGAGGAGCATTATCAAGGAGCTAGATCAGAAGGGGCACAGCCAGGACTAGAACCAGCACTTACATGGGATGCCAGCAACAGATGGCAGCTTAACCTGCTGTGCCATAGTGCCAGCCCTATACCACAATTTTTCCAAAAAAAAAAAAAAAAAAATTTTTGAGAGGTAACTAAGAGAAAGGTCTCCTATCCACTGGTTCACTCCCCAAATGGCCACAAGAGCTACAGCTGGGCCAATCCAAAGCCAGGAGCCTGGAGCTTTCTCCAGGTCTCCCACGAGGGTTCAGGGACCCAAGCACCTTGGGCCATCTTCTACTGATTTCTCAAGTCATAGCAGAGAGCTAGATTAGATCAGCAGCCAGGACACGAGCCCATATGGGATGCCAGCACTGCAGAGGCTCACCCTATTACACTACAGCGCCGGCCCTAACACTCACTCTTAATGACCTTTCTTAAGACCATTCAAGTTGCTCTTGGGTTTTACCACTTACCCAACAATCTTCCAAATGCCACAGACCCCCTGACACATTGCAAAAGAAATTGCCTCTCCGAACCTGAATTCTTTGGGGGGCACTTTCATCTTATTAGTATTGTATTCGTCCTACTGAGACTGAGAAAGGACTTTAAATTAATTTTTGCCTTTCAAAGTCTTACTGGACTTTTCTTAAATGAAACCCTTATCAATCATGTATGGTCCTAATCGTGTAAAGGAAAAATAAACTCTCCAGGATTTCATGGATTTAATTTCAACGGCAATGCTATAGAAAAAGGGACTCTTCCATCCACTGGTTCACTTCCCAATGGCTGCAACTGCCAGGGGCTGGACCAGGCCAAAGCCAAGAGCTTCTTCCGTCATCTCCCATGTGGGAATAGTGGAACCAAGTACACACTTGACCCATCTTCTGAAGTTTTTCCCAGAATATATTATGGCATAATGTAACATCTCCAACAGCCACAGTAACTCATACTGCTTAGTCTTAAATTTCTTAGCCAGATTCTTCTTGCATTGATTCCTGTACTGCCCATCCTGTAGAATGAATGTGGAACCATAAAGTGCTATCCACTACTCACCATCTGCCAGCCTTCCAAAGCACCACCTTCTATGTGATTTCCCCAATCCTCAATCATCTCACACAAAGACACACAGGCTCCCCTCAATCCATCACCACTCAGACCTTATTTTTCTCTTTGCTGAACACGCTGTTTTTCAAATCTCACGGTCTCTGCATGTATTATTCCTTCTGCCTGTAATGGCTACTCAGTAAAATTTTGGAAAATTGGCTTTTAAATGTTTAAAACACATTTAGGCCGGCACCGAGGCTCAATAGGTTAAACCTCCCCCTGGGGCACAGGTACACCGGATTCTAGTCTCGGTTGGGGCGCCGGATTCTGTCCCGGTTGCCCCTCTTCCAGGCCAGCTCTCTGCTGTGGCCCAGGAGTGCAGTGGAGGATGGCCCACGTGCTTGGGCCCTGCACCCACATGGGAGACCAGGAGAAGCACCTGGCTCCTGGCTTCAGATCAGGGCAGTGTGCTGGCCGCAGCGGCCATTGGAGGGTGACCCAACGGCAAAGGAAGACCTCTCTCTCACTCACTGTCCACTCTGTCAAAAAAACAAACAAACAAAACCACATATTTAATCGGAAGGCAGTATTAGAGGACAAAGACATCTTCCATCTGGTTCACTCCTCAAATAGCCCCACTGGCCAGGCTATAGCCAGGAGCGTGGAACTCCATTTGGATCTCCCATGTGCATAGCAGGGACCCAAACATCAGGGACATCTTCTGCAACTTTCCCAGGCACATTATCAAGGAGCTGGATGTTAAACGGAGCAACCAAGAAGGAACCAGCACCCATGACGTGCCACTGTTGAAACAGCTGACATCACCAGCTCCATAAAACTAGTTCTTTTTAAAATAAAGATTTACTTATTTGAGTTACAGATACACACATAGAAAACTTCCATGTGCTGGCTCACTCTTCAAATGGTTCCAACAACTTGGGCTGGGCCAGCAAAAATCCAAGAGTTTACTTCAGGTCTCCCACATGGGTGCATGGGTCCATGCACTTCAGCCATCCTCTACTGCTTTCCCATGCGCAACAGCAAGGAGCTAGACTGGTGGTGGAGCAGCCAGATCTCAAACAGGTACTCTGGGATGCTGGTACTTCAGAAAGGAGCTTTACCTGCTAATGCCACACCACCAGCCCCCAAGCTGGCTCTTAAATCAACCCAAAGGTCCTTTCAGATACATTTCCTGACTCCTCTATCTGTACATGTTAATAGTACCTGAGCAGAGCCGGCGCCGTGGCTCATTAGGCTAATCCTCCACCTTGCGGCGCCGGCACACCGGGTTCTAGTCCCGGTTGGGGCGCCGGATTCTGTCCCGGTTGCCCCTCTTCCAGGCCAGCTCTCTGCTATGGCCAGGGAGTGCAGTGGAGGATGGCCCAGGTGCTTGGGCCCTGCACCCCATGGGAGACCAGGAAAAGCACCTGGCTCCTGGCTCCTGCCAAGATCAGCGCGGTGCGCCGGCTGCAGCGGCGGCCATTGGAGGGTGAACCAGCGGCAAAGGAAGACCTTTCTCTCTCTGTCTCTCTCTCACTGTCCACTCTGCCTGTCAAAAAAAAAAAAAAAAAAAAAAAATTTAGTACCTGAGCATACAACAGGCTTTTAAAAAATTTACTAAGTAAAATTTTTAGGACTTCAGTCAACTGCCTAAGATTTCGACATGGTTACCACAACATGTATGAGGGTCCTTCAAAAAAGTAGGAAAGGGGGAAGTGTTTGCCAAATTAAGCTGCAGTTAGGTAGGATGCCCATGTCCCCCTATCAGAGTGTCTTGAGTTACAGTACCAGCTCCATTCCTGGTTCTAAGACTCCTGCCAATACAGATCTTTGGGGGAATGTGATGGCCTAGTTGGTTGTATCCCTGCCACCCACAAGGGGAGAGCCTACAATAGGTTCCAGGTTTCCAGCTTCAGCATGGCCCAAGCCCAGCAACACTATCTACTAAGGAGTGAACCAAAAAATGGATGCTGTGTCTTACTTTGAAAGGCACAGCTAGACACAGGGAGAGGAAGACAGATACCTTCCATTCACTGGTTCTCTCCAAATGGCCACTGGCCAGGTGGAAGCTCGGAGCTAGGATCTTTTCCCAGGTATCCCCCTGGGTGCAAGGGATCAAGCACTTGGGCCATCCTCTGTTGCCTTCCCAGGCACATTAGCAGGGAGCTGGATCAGAAGTGGAGCAGCCAGGACTTGAACCAGAGCCACCAGCCAAGTGGTGGCTTTGCCTGTTATGCCAACACCGTCCCCCTACCCTCTCTCATATTATAATCTAAAAAAGAAACAGATACGCAGATAATTGGGGAGCCTACAGAAAAAAAATGGGATGAAATCTTAAAACAAAATATTTTGAAATTCAGTTTTTACACAACACACATTTTCTATTAAATTTTGAAAAACCTGTACTGTTAACTCTTTCAGGTAAACATACATGATAGCTGACAAGCACTTAAAAAAAAAAAAAACACCAGGCCATACTCGAAATTCTAAAGATGGTAACTTGTTTCTTACATAGGCAAGATTTAGCTATCATTTGAGAAGTAACCTGCTCAAGGTCATGCTTGCTCCAAACTGCCAGGATACAGCTTGCTCAGTCTATGTTTCAAGTAACATTACCTAATATGCCCAGACTGTCTAAAATACATTCCCCCTATATAAACACTGTATTGGTCAAAAGTAACTTAGTTCCCAGGGCATGACAAAAACCGCTTAGGACAGGTGATGTCTTAATTAGTTCTCAAACTATTCTCAATACAAATAAAATGGGCCCAGACAAGTATCATAAAGAAAATATTTATTCATCTTTGTAAACAACAGGCATTCAAGATTTGCCAACAAATGAAGGAGCGGCACCCCCACACACACCAGAACTGGCTGAGTTTTAATAATCTTTGAAGAAAAAGTGTTCCATTGTATAACTGAAAACAAAGACACTTCTGATCAGAAAGTATCTCTTCTCAAATCCCAAGAGCAGACGAAAATTAAACATGAAGTATATAAATGTGCTTATCTACTTCATTGTCCTTTGCACAAGCTTCCAGATACTTAACCAAGTAAACCCATCAAAGTGTGAGATGCATTAGTTATCACTCATGTAAGAAAATTTTTATTTTGAAATAAACACTAGGTTTTTTCATTGGTAAACAAAAGCTAGCATTTTATTTCTATTTTTTAGTGAAGTCATTTACTTACAAGAAACATTACTAGACTTTTGCTTAGCATAGTCTGGCCATTTGTGTGCTCTGTTCAGGTCCTCACCATCACATACAATCATATCCCTTGCTTGCTCTTCACTCCTTAACAGCACAAGTGCAACCTGGAAACTGAATTGAAATGCTACAATATGGCAAGAAATAGATCTATTTCTCAGAAATAAATCATCTGTCTTGTTAGAGCAAGGAAAGTTTTCATTTTTTAGCTTTCATTTGTTATTTTCTCATTAATACAACACCCCAGGGAGGGAAGAGACTCCCAAATTTCATCACCTTTTCCTCAATTAATTTAAAAAGGACTGCTTTAATTCAAATCAAGTCTTGGTTTAACACCTTTTTACTGTTTTGCACTGCCTTCTACAATATTCCAGAAATAGCATAAAGATTTTTCCCCCATTTTGACCAGCTGCCTATTGTCAGTTTTAACTGGAGCTGAAAAACAGAAGACTTAAACTGGAAGTTAACACTGGATTTTAAAAGAACATTTAAATAATTCTTGAAGATTTTATCAGCCACTCAATTCTAAGCTTAAAAAAAGCTTGAAATATAAAATTAGTAATTAAAGTTTCAAACAAAATTAAAAATGAGTAAGGTACATTTCCATTTAATCACTGTGTAAATTTGTAAAAATGTTAGACGTATATACATTAAGTTCCAAAGGAGATGTCAAGATTTCTTGCTCACTTTTAAATATTATCTCAAACTATGGAAAGTTGGCTACTTAGTTTCACCACTATTACATGCATTTGAAGTTAAATACTTACCAGTTTTTCATTGTCTGGTTATCCTGCTAGGAAAGGACAGTTTCTTAGAAATTTACTTCATATTAACTGAGGGTCCATAATTTGTTCAACGCTTATCTAGAAGAATACATTACTGTATCACATACTCAAGATTAACTTCATATTTTAGAAACTATTGGTGCTACTACAAGTATCAGAATTGATTGTTCATTACTAGTTCAGGAAATACAATACCTTTAGGGTATGTAAGTATTGACATTATCTAAGAAGTGGCTAGCTAAAAACTACAGAGGGAACAATCCACGTTAAAGTGAAAAGAAGGTAATGAAGTACTAAGAAATACATCAGAGACTAATTCTCACTGGTATACCCAGTTTGAGAAATCAGGTATTTCTAACCCAGCTGTTTGTGGAGGGCTTAATTGATTAAAGAAACAATACACCTGGAACTATGATGTTTCAAAGAGAACCCTGTAGGCACCTGGTTTGCATGATCAGCTTTAGTAAACCCTCTTTCCATCCCAACCCCAGCTTAACAGCTCATGAAACACTGCAACAAAGTCTGTAACAAGAACAGAAAGATGTTCTGATATTTTAATTTCATACCTATGTAATGTGTGAATAAGAAGCATTGAGAAAAAATTTTTTGGCTGTCAACTAAAAAGAAAACCTTAAGCATTTAAAACATTTTCTTAAATGCTAGTTGGAATAAAAAATATTTCCATCTCACCTAAAAGAAACATTTTTTGCCATCAGTTCAGTGAAGGAGAGAAAGTGACCCAGGATTAGCAAGAAAATGTCAGGCAATAAAATCACCATCTTTATTTAATATTCCTGACTCAAGTAATACCCAAGGAGATGCAGAAATTCAGACTGCTCATTTTTTTCATCAACATGTCCTGTTTTAGTTCATTTTAAAATATTGATATAAAAATATAAAACAGTACTCACCAGAAGGCAGCTTTTTAAGAGATAGTTTTAAGGAAAACCATTTCCACTGTGTACCTATGTCATTTCTTACATAGAATCAACTGTGAAAGGCAATAAAACTTAAGCCCTTGGGCAATTTTTTAAGAAAACACAAATGGATCTTGTAAAATATTTTATTATCAGTTGATAAATCCAGGTTAAATTTAATGGACACAAAGACTTCATATAAAATAAAGATGAGCTACTCTCACTAGGGCTAACCACCATCCATATTAACAGTGTAAAATGAGCTAGGGTCACAGCTCTATCATGTCAAACTGGACAAGATTACACTTAAGGTGAAGAGGAGGCCACACATACTAGCATTAATGCTACAGAATAGGATAGCTCAGGGTGGTAGATATTAAATTGTATGCTTTACTCCTTGTTCCTCTGTGCTCCGAGTTTATGCCAACATAAAAATTTAAAGGTTAAAGGAAATCTCTCATGGATGGTTCAAACAATAATGTTGGGGAAAACAAACAAAAAACAGTAATAAAACGTTAGTATCTTTTCCAACCTGTTACACTGTCACTGTCCCTCAAAAGGATTACATGAAGAATCCAGCTAGATTTCTTGATCGGCAGAGTCGGCTGTCATGAGTACAGTAAAATCTGTTGTTCTTAAAGTAAAATGAACCCACAGTGGTACAACAGGCCATAGTTACAAAACTGAACAAAAAAAAAGGATTTTTTTTACAAATGTTATTAAAAACATGTAAAAACAAAAATGTAGTGTAAACATTTTCTAGCTTATACTATCTATTCGCTATTCAGAGGTGAGGAAATGCTTTTTACACTTTTACGTTGATTCATACTGTGAAAAGCTAAAAGGTGAATTTTAGAACGACCATGAGTGGCTTAAGACCCTGGATCCAAAGGCTTGAATTCCATATTATATACCAATAAGGTAACAGCCAATCAAAACTTTCACTGTCTCTGCCTTTAATGCACAACAAATTTATCTAGATTCAGCCACAACCAGATAATAAAGGAACAGTATTACACCTTTATTACAACTGAGGTTAGCAAACCTAGAGTTACTTTGGCCCAGGTACTGTGTTTCAAACTTTCCAATGAATCTATTATACTCACATTCACAGCTTTCTTCCTTGTGTGGGTTATATGGATATGTTTGAAAAAAATAGGAACATCGGGTACTTACAGATTAAACTAACCTGTACTGGCAGGGCTGTGGGATTTTTCTTCTCTACCAGTAAGTAGCAAATGCTGAAATTCTGCTGCTAGTTAACAAAAACACAAATTGTATTAAACTGAGGAGTTCAATCCATACTTTAAAAATTCAATGTGCATTAAATTTCCTCAGAGTCTGTTATCAATACATTTAAAATCTTTCCCTAAGATCAACAAAAATTATCTTACATTGGCTGTTAAATTTAGAGTGACCTTGTCATAATGAGCTTTAACAATGAATCTCTTGAACACATCTCAGTTGTACTCCCATATGTGAACTGTGATAAAAATTGTAAGTACCCTAAAGAGGTGGACATGTAATTTTAAACATGGTAATTTCTAAAATTATGTAGACCCACCTACAGAAGAAATTCAGTTTTCACAAAACTGGATTTTATTAGATTCTCAATTTTAAACATGAACTGACAAGCAAATTCTATTACTTCTTGAAGCACATTAATACACTAGATACTTTGAACTGTTGTTGATTATCTTTTCTGTTGGTCTATCTGGTAGTTAAGCAGCCTAGGGAATGATACTGCAAATCTTATTCATTTTCATCTCTGCTTAGCACACTGCTAAACTGTGGGAGATGGCCAAGTGCTTGGACCCCTGCCACCATGAAGGAAACCAGAATAGAGTTCCCAGTCTCAGCCCAGCACCCAGCACACTGTCATGGCCATTTGGGGAATGAACCAGCAGATGGAAGATATCCATTGCTCCCTAACTCTTTTAAACAGATCTTAAAAAAAAAAAAAAAAAAAAAAAACAACCTGCTAAACTGTGTATGAATAAAATGTTTAGAACCCTCTACCTTATATGATATAATGAAATATTTACATGCAAACCATGCGTAGGAATGCTATTATTTTTATTACACTTAAAGTTAAGTCAAGTCTAAGCCCATTATTTAGTGGTCTCTTTCCCAAATAATCACTAATGGTGTATGTGTAATGAACTGGGGAAACTTCCTTCATTTTTATCCAAGTTGGGCATAAATTAATTTCAAGGCCAGTCCCTCAAAAGAAACCAAAAGCAAAGACATAGATTCTCTAACCTTGTTAAAAACAAAAGATCTTCAAGTTTTTATAAATATAGCATTATACAAACCCGAAAAAACCCACAGCCCATTACTGAAGCTGTGCTGTATTACCTTTTACACCAGGATAGCATTTAAAATCAATGGGTGGAGTCCATGCAGTGAATCATTAAGACAGTTTGCTAAATCAAACTTAATTCAATCTTAATTCAATCAAACTTAATGCACGTAATCTCATAATGTATGCCTCCCACAGAACCTAGCTATGAATGTTTATCTAATGAAACAATCTTGTTCTATTCTATATTTCAATTTGCTTCAAATAAAAAGTTAAAATTAGGGGCCAGTGCTGTGGTGTAGCTGGTAAAACCACCCCCTGTAGTGCCAGCATCCCAACTGGGTGCTAGTCCCAGACCTGGCACCTCCATTTCCGACCCAGCTGTTACTGCCGGTGAAAGCAGTGGAAGATGGTCCAAGTGCCTGGGCCCTTGCACCTGTGTGGGAGACTCAGAAGAAGCTCCAACCTCCGTTACTGGCCCAGCTCCAGCCATTCCGGCCATTTGGGGAGTGAGCCAGTGGATGGAAGACCTCCCTGCCTTTCAAATAAATAAGTATTTAAAAGTTCAAATTAGCTTCTGTGAAGGCCTCTTTTGGGCTGCAAATTTATGCTTTAATATTACTTCTACACACTACTTAGCAAGCTAATTTATCTGAGAACACATGAGATTGAGTGAACAGATTTTAAAGACTTCAAAATTTTCAAAATAGTTTGACACTTTTTCCCCCAAAATCAGTGTTCAAGATCAAAATATTAAACAATGTATAGAGCCCAGAGTAGGAAAAATCAGTGTTTTATTAAAAAAAAATTCTCTCCTGAGCCTTACTGGAAAAAAAAAAAAGGTTTTTTTCTCAATGCTACTTTAATCTGTTTTCCAACAAAAATGCCAAGAACACTAAAAATGATGGATGTTTTACGGCTTAAAACATTGGAAAACCATCTTATGAATATGTACATTTATCATGTCTAAAAATAGTACCATATTAAAGAAATCAAAATTCAATGAAAAATCCACTTTCCATTTCCTTTGGGTTCATTTGAATTAGATCTGTTAACTGGGATGCCTAAGAACTTAAGTTTGGAGTTTTACATTACAATTGTATCGTAATTTAGCATTAATTACAAAAGTTTCAGGTTCTACTATGTGCATGACCATAAAACACTGTTGAAGTAAGTGCTTATTTTGAGAAGATATCACATAGGAAAGTCAGATGATTTCTTTTGCTATAAAAACAAAAGGTTATCATTTAAATATTTCTGGTAACAGAAAACAAAACACTGAGAAAGAAGGGTTATGAGATAGCTAGCATAAGTGAACTAAGAGGATGTTTGCTTACACTGGACCTCTCCTTTCAAAAGACTTTTCCATTAAAAGCTGCTATCTTTCATTTTGGAAGGATGATCAAAGACTATTCAATATTACACAGGTAAATAAATAATATACCGCCTTTAAAAAATATACCTCATTTATATGAAATTTTAGAGTTCATGTTAAATTTTTATTTACCCTTCAACCAACATTAAGTGTTTTATGTATCTTTCATCAGCTTACCAAACCAAATTTTACCTCAGTAAAGACGTCACTTCATTTTCTTTCACTTATCAAGTCTCACAAGTGGACATTAACATCTATTACAATAATTCTCAAAATTGTATTTGAGCCACAGAACTACAAAAATGCCAAGCTATATCTGAAATAAGGTATCCCTATCAGCCTCTACACAATATGCCACCATGAGTAAATCCCTCCCTCTCCCAGTATTCAAGCAGGTAAGAGCTTATTTTAATTACATTTTAATTACGACAAGCTTGAAGAGATGTCAATATATTGGAGAACGATGGCTACAACAGCAAACAGATCTCCAATTAAGGAGTCTTTAAAATGTGTAATTATTGAGGTTATAAAATATTCAGTGATGTATTTTATCATAGAAAAGAAATCCCTTTAAAAAATATAAATCATTCTCCATATCTGTTACATTGGAAAGCATAATACAATCTATTAAACAGGTCAAAATTTGGAATATATTTAATGCAAGTTTTTTTAAATGCTTTCAAAAATGAAAATCACATAGAAAACAATACTGTATTTGCTAAATGTTGTACTGTATGTTAATTGTTATCGTTCACAGAAAAATGCTACTACATAGGATGGGGCTCAAACACCAAAAGGATCAAATATAATCCAGGTTCATGTTTTGGTATCTCTTTACCCCCTACAAACATACATACCTACAGCCTTTCTCACCAAATCAAAGTAAATTTTAGTTGGAAACAAATGTAGATACCTTTCTCTATCTCACTCACACACGCACGCACACACACACACACACACCCCAAACAATGCTCAGTAAGGCTGAACATGAACCTCAAAATGTTATAAAACCATAGCTTAATATGCTAGTAACTTTATCACATGATCCAATTTTTTGGTCACATGAACATTAGTAATATACCCATGGTGACAGGTCCAAACTCTTTTATTATCCTTTTATTCTATCAAATGTGTTGTCTACCCAGTACATACCACCCAAGTGTGCGCACGTGCGCGCAAACACAACACACACACACACACACACACAACCACCTTCCCACTCTTCACAGGGCTCTACATTAACATTTGCTCTAATGTGGTGAGATTTGAAAATATTAAAATCACAAGCATTTCCAGATGACCTCTCAACCTTAATGTTCAATACATAAGCTTGGGATTAAGAATGCAGATTTCAGTATCCAGGGGGCATTTCCAATGATTAAACTTAAAATCCTTGAGGTTAAATTTAATAGTCTGAGGAGAAAATAACCAGTAAGATTTTCCTAAAAATGAAAATGGAAAATTTGAATGAAACATTTCATGCCTCCAAATCAAGAACATCAAATTTTGTCAATTTACTAAAGTTCTTCAATTATAGTAATACAAGCTTTACTGAGGCTGTTAATTATCAGGTAACACAAAGTAAATTACATGAGATTATATATCAAACAGCTTCTATTTAGGTTCTTTAACACCACAATCAAACGTGAATATTAATATAGAGCCTTCTCTGCCAAAAGAGTATAAAAATCCTAAGTTTAATTAAACTTAGGGGCCTTCACCAAACTTGCTGCAAGTTTGGGGACATAAATATCCAACAGCTATAAAGCTGTGAAAGCCCCTATAAGGAATAAAATAAATCCCACTTGCCTCAGACTGAACAGGGCAACACTGAGACTCAGCCTCAGCCTGTCCTATGGCAGGGCTATAGGAAGAAGAAAATTTTAATTTTAGAAAAACATTACCCAATTAATTTAAAAGACATGCATTAATTTTTTTAAAAAATCCCAATGATCAAGCAAGCAAAGGAAAAAATTAGCAGCTCTTTAAAAAGAACAAAAAACAAAACTACTGTCCACTGCAATTCCATTCTGAGCCCATACTTAATTCTGTTGGGAATTCCTCCCCCAAATAAATCTGAGTTTGAATTCAACACATAACTTCATCAGAGAAATGAGTCCACTATGAGTACTTCCCCCAGGGCTAATGGCAAATGTGTGAGATTACCACAATACTAAGTATTCAAAACCAAATGGTAATTCCAGCAGCCATTCAAAACACTGGTCTTCATCTGCTGGTCTTATTTCCACCATACAATAGTAAAACTTACACCATAGAAACTAGTGCCAGACAAAATGTTTAGGTTGTTTTTGTTTTTCTAAAGAGTGGTCCCAGAACAGCAGACAGAAGGTAAAGCCATAGCTGCCAGCCCTATTAATCTTACAACTTCATTAATTATAGCAACCACAATGTGTGCCTGAATACATCAGGTCCCAAGAGTTGTCTTCAGTGGGGACAGCTTAAGTTCACTTTGACTCAACTTCATCTGTTACTTAAGAAATCGTAAGTCAAAGTAAGAATTAACTGTTCCTATGTAATTTGCTCTACTCGTTATTCAACTACACTATGGACCCCAGAAGCAATTAGGTAAGTTATTTTCTAGAAGCTTAATTATGCTTGAATGCATGCAAAAATCACTTTAAATATACTAAATGGGCACCACTTGTGAGCTATACGGCCACAGAACATAAACTATGTGCTAATTTTTCAAGTGTATTAGCACTTTCAATTAGTGTCATTTAAATTTAAAGCTGCATTCTTCCCTGAAGACCTTGAAGAGCAAAAAACCTTACCAGAAGACACTCTTCCACTCTGATACACCATTTCCTGTTCAACCATTCTAAATTTATCTGTGTCATTTGTACCTTAAGATTTAACACAGGGTAAATTGTCTGGCCTAGCCATTTATATACCTGTTGGGATGCCCATATCCCATATTAGAGTGCCTGGGCTCAATACCTGCCTGTGTTCCTGACTCCAGCTCCCTGCTATTGCAGACTCAGGGAATCAGCAGTGATGGTCCATGTAACTGGATTCCTACTACCCACATGAGTTCCCAGCTCCCAGCTTCAGGGCAGCTGCAGCATTTGGGGGAGTGAACCACAGGATGGGCACATTCTCTCTCTCTCAAGTAAATAACACAATTTAAAGGAAAAAAAAAAAAACACATTTTACACAAGTTTTTCCTGGGAAGTATGAAAAATGTGCTGACAAATCTAAGTGTACATCAGACAAATTTAACTATATGCTGGAGCAGGTGTTTCGCCTCCCAGCCAAGACACCACCACTGGGGTCAGTGGCATCTCATGTTGCAGTGCCTGGGTTCATGTCCTGTCTCTGCTCCTGATTCCAGCTTCCTGCTGGTCTGTACCTTGGCAGACAAGAGGTGATAGCTCAACTAAGTGGGTCCCTGACATTGCAGAGAACCAGGCTGAGTTCTCAGCTCCTGGCTTTAGCCTAGACCAGTCCTGCTGTCGCAGGTTCATGGGGAGACCACCAGCAGATGGGATTATCTGTTGTCTCTCTGCCTTTTAAACAACTCAACCATTATGTTAATTCCAAAACTCTATAGATGGGCAAGCATTCAGTAAACAAAGGGGTGTGGAACTTGGCTGCAGGCAAAAGGAAGAAATGGTCATGTACAGATGCAAAATTTTGCACCTCACTGGTACCACAGGAGCTATAAAATCAGTACAGCAAAATATCAAATTTAAAAGAACATTCACCTTTTATAATACTTATAATGGTTTCTTTAATATTTCAACTGTACCTGTCATTTAAATACACTTATGTAATGGTTAAAACATTTTTCAATGTAGTTATCTTCCTAAAATTGAAGGTTTTCCTTAAAACTTTAATTTCATATGCTATCTACTTTCACATAAAAGAAATGTTAGCATTTTCTTCTAACTCTTAACTCTGAATTAGGAACTCAACTTCAGTTCATATTAATTATTCATAAATAATCATAAACTATATTGCAAAAGACCAGAAAAAGTTGCAAAAAAAAAAAAAAAAAACTCTACAAAAGCTCACAACTCAAAATGCTGAAGAGCAATCATCTCTATAGAAAAGTTCCATATAGGAACACAATTAACATTTAAAATTACCATGGATGAAATGTTTAACGGTAAAGCTATCTCGTCTTAGTAACAGAAAGTACCCACCCAATCAAATGAGTAACATAAATCCTTCAGGGACATATAAATTTGTAAACTGCCAATCCATCTTTTAAACATCTTAAAAGAGGCAAGTTTAGATTCCCATTACTACACTAAGGACACATACAAACCCACTATCATCACAAGCAACTATTACTGCATGCACCTAAGCTTCTAGAAGTTTGCACCTAAAAAGCTTCTGAGGTCCATGCAGTACTCAAGGCTCCGAAACAATCAGAAGAAAATGAACAAGTCTGGCACTAGGCTCTAAATATCTCAGCAGGCCAAAGTATTAAGGTTTACATTTTAAATGCCTATGACTTCTGAAATCAACTGACACCATAAAGGGTGGAAAGATGACATAATATAAAGATTTCATACCCATTATATAATGACTCATATGTATCAAAGATTTTCTGTTAACTAAACCATTAACATACATTTCTATATATACTACTCAGTTTAGGACATGCAGCTAAGGAAAAACCTGTAATTCAAAGACAGAATCCAGTGATATAGAAAAACTGCATTGGAAACTATGAATTTTATTATGTGGACATCTACTTTGGCATGCATCTGTACAAACCTTTCAGGCAGTGGTCCACAGCTGGGTTATGAATAAAAAGGCATGAATTTTTCTCTCATTTTATTACAATGAAGTTTAACAGTACAGAAAAGTCACATGACCTTCGTAGGTCAGCTTTCTTAAACCCTGCAACATGAGGAACTCTAAATACATTAAATATTGTTACACATTCAGACTTCCAATGTACAGGTACTTGGAAACAGTTACAGCCCTCACCAAGCTAGGTTGGGGACCTGAAGTCCAACAGCATTAGAAATGCTGTGAAGGCATAACTTTACAAATAGCAATGTAAGCTTACAGAACTTGCCTTTAATAAGGTGGTATGTTCATGTAATTCCAGCGCCTTCACAATTTAACGAACCAAATTTACTATAGTTCACTTCTAAAAACCTAGATGAAACATGAAAAAGAAGCCATACAGTATAAATTGCAACTTCAGGAAAAGTTCCTGCTTTATTATTCCAAATAATTTTTTCCCATGTAAAATAAATGTCCAATAGTTCCTGGTATCTGGGAAGATTATGTTTGTTAAAGTCACAATGAAGCCTTATTGACGGAAGCTTGGCTATATAAACAGCACAAGTTGAGAAAAGGTTTAATCTCCAAACCTATTAGACTGGATGAAGTAAGATCAGTAACGGCCACCTTGCGACATTACAGGAGGTCTCATTCCCATCGGAGGTCGAGGAGGCCCACCTTGGTAAGGGGGTACCATTGGCGGTCCTTGCCCATATGGCGGCATAGCACCAGGAAGGTAACCTGGCATGCCTTGATGATGACCACCATACTGACCTAAAAAACACAGTTAAAACACAAAAAAATTGATTGAGTTGGGTATATACTATACTTCAAAATACAATGTATTTTGTAGATAAAGTTCATATTTTACGTGTATACTCAAAAGAATTCAGTAAGTAAAATAAAAATAAAAAGAGCAATACCATGAGGTGGCATCGGGGGTCTCATTCCTTGTTGTTGTGGGATGCCTGGCTGTGGCGGCATCATACCTCCAATTGGACCAACTGGTGGATTACCGATGGGAGCCTGCCCTGGTCGAGGAAGATTACGTTGATACTTAGGCAACTGTGCCCTTCTCTCTTCCTGAGAATAAAAATAAGCACAACATTAAGAATCTGAATGCAGAGCTTCATTAAGCATAAAGGCTAGCATCTAAAACTTTTATTTAAATTACTTGACCACACAAACAAGTTCAACTTTCTAAAACCCTGATGCCTTAAAATAAAAAAAAAACCCTCACCTGTTTATATACTTGAAGCATAACTAACATCTTCATAGAATTATAAATTCTTTTAGCAGTAAACTGTCTACTTAACAAATATTGTTATCAGACTGCTAAACATTCCTTATAGCAAATGAATTCCTTTATATGGGCTTCCAGGGATTTGGAAATTCCACCTTACATGTACCTTTTTCAATTTATATACACAAATTTATTTCTAGCTAAAAATGATGTTTAAAGGAATAAGAACCCTGGGGCCGGCACTGTGGCGCAGTAGGTTAATGCCCTGGCCTGAAGCACCAGCATCCCATATGGGCACAGGCTCAATACCCAGCTGCTCCGCTTCCTGTCCAGCTCTCTGCTATGGCCCGGGAAAGCAGCAGCAGATGGCCCAAGTCCTTGGGCCCCTGCACCCACTTGGGAGACCCAGAAGAAGCTCCTGGCTTCTGGCTTCAGATCTGCTCAGCTCTGGCCGTTGCAGCCATCTGGGGAGTGGACCATCGGATGGAAGAACTCATTCTCTCTCTGCCTCTCCTCTCTCTGTGTAACTCTTTCAAATAAATAAATAAATCTTTAAACTAAAGAAGGAGTTGGGGCAGTGGAGTAAGAACCCAATTCACTGTCTTTATATGGAAGGGGGGATAGCATCTAAGACCAGCATCAAAGACCAAAGCATAAATGAGGACAGTAAAAGTCACTAGCAATTATTAAATCAGGTAAGACCACCTGAGTAAAATTAACACTTTTCAAAGGGACAAGATGCTACAACAGTTTTCAACCAGACGCTGCTAGTAAGATTAAAAAAAAAAAAAATACTTACCAGTGATATATCCTCATCTGGATGGATCAACTTACTGGTTGCACTGGTTGTTGTAAGCGTAGCTGGCTTACTTGTTATTGAAGCCGCTGGTTTAGCTGCAGTACTATTTGTCGTACTAGTAGTTGAAGCTGTAGACTGTGTGTAAGCAGGGAATGTAGGCTTTGGGGGTTCTGTAGTTGTTGCAGGGGTACTATTTAAGGGCTTGAAATCTGTACCAACAGGTCCTTGGACAGCTGCCTGAGCCTGTAAAATACAATCCTTGATTAACAAAACTTCAAAACCCTAAAACAAATATCTAGAAGCAGATTAAATTACAAGCAAGATACCCACATTAAAGAACAAAACTACATAAAATTAAAACAAAAAGTTATATTAATATATGATAATGTTCCACAAAATTCAAGGTAACCCATTAAGAATATCAAAAGATGCTGAATTAAAGTCTCATCACAGCAGTGGAATCAAGTGACATAGCAAATGTTAAGTTCTCAGATGTCTACCTCATCAATAATTCATAATATTTTGTACTTATTTATTCCAGACTGCTGAAATAAATATCACATACCAGAATAGCATGTGTTGTATTTTTAGTGTTCTAAATCAGTTGCTTATAAAGTAATTAATATAATAAACAGTTCAAAAAATAAAGTTAAAAACTACAGAGTACAAGTTTGAACAAAATCATTACTAAATATAGCATGAATAGTTAGTATCAACAGTGACACACGGGTATGTCCTTTAGAAGTATTCTATACATAGTAACACAATTCCCTCTGGATTAGCAATGGCCAGATGTTTAACAGACAAAAGGGTTAATTTAGAAGGATATTTTAAGTAAAAAATTACCAGTAATGTGTTACTTTTCATAACACCAAACATTAAACATGTAGGCTAGGTCAACTTTAGAACCAAGTGCAGAGCACTAAATTTCCTTATATCGAATTGATGCATTACACAGTATAAATCAAAATAGCTTAATCATGCATCAGGCTAATCATTGGCCACTATAAGGTATTTAATGCTTACATGCTTTTAACCCTTTAGAACCATAAGCGTTTAGGGTACATTCTGTTGTTAGTATGAATTCAAATTTTTATAATACCACTTGAAATTTTCATTAGCATCATTAATTTTACATTTAAAAAACTAAACATTTTTGGGAATGATTTAGTTTTAAAGTAGGGTCCAAAGGGTTAAGTTATAAAGCCATTTTAACAATTTTAAACTGCAACTTCCTGCGTACTTGTGCTGTGCTAGGAAACAGAGCTTTAGAAGATGCAGACAGACTTTCTGAATTGGATGAAGCTGTACTTGAGCTTGTTACAGGTGTCCCCATCTGTAGCATAAAAGAAAGGAAACAATGAAAAGTCTCCAAACAAATGGTTGAAAATAAGCCATGTGGTAGACTTTTTAGTATAGATTGCATCTTTGTAAATGCAAAATTCAATGCAATCAATTGTGACTTAGAGGCTGGCAATTAATGCATTTACAACAAAGTGAAAGCAACAGCCTAAATTTTTTTCTAAATTTCTATACCAATAAATGTAGTTAACCATAATTTCTTTAAAAAAAAAAAACTAATGTGTTTTACATTCTGATATTTCAAGAACAGCACCTTAAGCTGACAGTAAGAATGCATTAATACTGACATTTCAATTCAATTCTGTATGATTTTTTGTCAAAAAAATTGAACATCTCAATAAACAGAATTTTCACCCTCCACAAAAGCTTAACTTAATATTAGAAGGTATTTAAATATAATGTTTTTAATTTAGCATGCATAAATAGGAAATAAAAACAACTGAAAAAGGGAAATATCTAAAGGATAATCTAAAAGACACATTCTAATCTTAATGCTAAATAAAACATAAAAAAGCAAAGGTTTCAACCATAATGCTCATACTATATAACAAACATCTTTCGCTTTGTTTTGGAGTTTTATATAAGTTTTAAATACAAGACCACTAGGAAATACAAGTGTGACTAGGCCAAAAGTCATTACAAAATGCTCTTCCAGTGAGATTACAATATGGTCTTATCACTGTTCTTAACTAGAGGAAGAGCCCAAGAAATGATTTAGAATGTCATCTTTGACTCTGGTCTCATTCCACTAAATTCAGCAGATTAATGTAGGACTCCCAAACATTATCATGTGTTTAAATACCAAGATATTGGGGTCAGGGTTGTGGCAGAGTGGGGTTATGGGTTAAGCCACTGCTTGTGACGATGGCATCCTGTATGGGTGCCAATTCATGTCACAGCTGCTCCACTTCTGGTCCAGCTCCCTAATGCACCTGGGAAAGCATAGGAAAACAGCCTGAGTCCATGAGCACCTGTCACCCACGTGGGAGACCCAAATGGAGTTCTGGGCTCCTAGCTTAGGCCTGGCTTGGCCTAGCCCCAGCCATTGTTGTCATCTGAAGAGTGAACCAGCAGTTGGAACATCTCTCTTTCTCTGACACTCCTTTTCAAATAAATCTTTAATAAATAAGCCCCAAGAAATTAAACTTTAATTTCTAACTAAAGCTAAAAAAGTTCACAGCTATGCAAAAATAATACTCAGCTGCTCCATTCAACCTTTTATGAGTAGAGGAAATCAATGTATCTAAATAATGAAGAGGAAGGATTACTTTTTAGTAAATTGTACTAAAGCTATGTAAACAAAAAATTGACCTACGACAATCTCAAAGAGTTCTATAAACTATTGCACTTTACATTTAAATTTAAATGTAAGTGCACTCCTTTTCAAGAATTTCACCTTACCTGTCCAGCACTGGGGAAAAGAGGCTTTGTAACCGGAGGCTGTGGCGCAGGGACTGTTGCTGTTGGTGCAGGTGGTCTATTAAGAATACCTGGTGCTGAAACAGCCTGTGCTTGTGTCATTGGAGGAATTCCAGGACGTGGAACTGGGGGAGGCATACCTGCAGGAGAAATTAAGTTGTTGAAACATTTAGTTCAGAAAAAAATACTTCTATACTACAAAGTTAATGCACTGAACAAATCCAATAAAGTCCAAAACACTTGGTCATTTTCCCCTTCCAACAATCATGAATCAAACTTTCACTTTTATCACTTCATAGTAAGTGGAAGACATCATTAGAAACTGTGATGCTACTGATTTAGCAAACATTTAAATACAGAATTATTATTTCAATAATCTTTTAGATTGAGCTGGTAGATGAGTGCACTGTTTATCTGCCTCTCACATAATTTTTAAAGAGCTCTTTTATTTATCTCAAAAGCACAGTTACAGAAAGATCGATCTTGTATGCTGGTTCATTCCCTAAATGGCCACGATGGCTAGGGCTGGGCCAGACGTAAGCTAGGAGCTTCATCTGAGTCTCTCATGTGGGCACAAGGGCCCAAGAACTTGGGACCCTCTTCCACTGCTTTCCCAGGCATATTACCAGGGAGCTAGAACAGAAGTGAAGCAGCTTGGACTAGAACCAGCGACCATATGGGATACCAGCATTGAAGGTGGCGGCTTTACCAGCTAGGCCACGACACGGGCCCCTCAAATAAATTTAGGAATTTTTTTCCAAGTGATTCTTTTAATCATTTTAAATAAATTTTTATAAACGTATTATTCATGCATTCTTCAAATTTCCTTTACACAACTTAAGAACTTGTACTATGAAGCTGGTGCTGTGGCACAGCTGGTAAGGCTTTGGTGCCCAGCTGCTCCACTTCCGATCCAGCTGTCTGCTATGGCCTAGGAAAGCAGTAGAAGAGGCCCAAGTCCTCCTGTACCCACATGGAGGACCCAGAAGAAACTCCTGGCTTCAGATTGACACAGCTCAGGCCATTGCGGCCATCTGAGGGCGTGAACCAGCGGATGCAGAACTCTCTGCCTCCTCTATAATTCTGCCTTTCAAATAAATAAATCTTAAAAAAATAAAAATAAAAACCTTCTGCTTCATACTATCAAATGAACATCAAATCATTATAGAATATTTCTTTAAATTTCCAAAACATATCCCAAAGCATAATGCATGTGGAGCTGTTTCTTTCTTTTTCTTTTTTTTTTTTTTGACAGGCAGAGTGGACAGTGAGAGAGAGAGAGACAGAGAGAAAGGTCTTCCTTTGCCGTTGGTTCACCCTCCAGTAGCCGCGGTGGCCGGCGTGCTGCGGCTGGCGCACCGTTCGGATACCAAGCCAGGAGCCAGGTACTTATCCTGGTCTCCCATGGGGTGCAGGACCCAAGCACATGGGCCATCCTCCACTGCCTTCCCGGGCCACAGCAGAGAGCTGGCCTGGAAGAGGGGCAACCGGGACAGAATCCCGTGGGGAGCTGTTTCTTATAAATTAAAGGCTGCACTGGCAATGACTTGACCTTAGCACTGCTTCTGTTTTTCAGCTGTTGTTTGGTCTCAACTTCCTTTGGATACTTCCAAATATGCTATGTAATGTAAACTAAATGTATTAGCATAAAATAGCTGAGTGGCAGGGGGGTGGGCTTTGCCCTAGGGTTAAGCCAAGGCTGGGGTCCTGACTCCCTGGGCAAGTCCAATTTCCTGCTAATGCACACCATAGGATGTGGCTCTAATTCCTGGATCCCTGTCATGTGGGAAATCCACATGAATCCCTAGCTTTGCCTGGCCTAGTCTCATCTATTGCATTAGGGAATGAACCAGCAGATGGGAGCTCAGTGCCCTTCAAGTAAATATATAAAAATTTACAATTTCAATAAAAAGCAATAGGTAGGTCTCATGTGACACACTTAACTTAGGGAACCAAATCCCTCTCCCCACATTGTGCCTCCTACTTTATAGGTTGTAATGTCAAAATACCTGATTTCTCAGGTTCCCTCACAATTAAGGGTTTCACTACATCTGTTCCTGACCAGTGATATGTTGATTTTCTAGGGAAGTTATTTTGCTTTCAAAGCACATTGCTGTTGACATTCTTTCTTGTCTGAGCCATCCCAGAATCACTGAATGACATCTCTGAGGGAAAAAAGTTAAGGTCAGCGAAGTTTAAAGTTAAAAAAAGAGACACGGGTAATCTTTGGGGCTGGTGTTGGGAGTGAATGGAATAAACTGCTACTTGCACCATAAGTGTATCCCCATACCTAAGTGCCAGTTCAAGTCCCAGCTAATCAGCTTCCGATTCAGCTCTCTGATAATGTGCCTGTGAAGGCAGTGACTGACAACCCAACTGCTTGGGCCCCTGCCACCGATGTAGACCAGTATAGAGCTCCTAGCTCCTGGCTTCAACCTGGCCCAGACCCAGATGTGGCCATTTGGGGAGTGAACCAGCACATGGGAAAATCTCCCCTTCCTCATCACTTTGCCAGCCGTGGCGGCCATTGGAGGGTGAACTCTGCCTGTCAAAACAACAACAACAAAAGAAACAGAATAAAGCTTATCATATTAAAAGGAAACTGCCTAGTATGTCTTACCTGGTGGCATACCAGGCATCAGAGGTGGTATTCCTGGTCCAGGTGGCATCATTCCACCCATCGGCATCATTCTATTAGAAAGCAAATATCAAGAGACAACTGAAGTTAATTGCTAATAGAAATCGTTGGAAAATAGTTTGGCTAAAGCCTGAAACAATACTAGATAAAAGACATCAGTTTGACCTCTAATGTTGAAATCAATGGAGCTGAAAGAACAACCACACACTACAGCAATCCTATCAAAATAAATCCTTTGTTGTATGCTTGAGAGGTAAATGCTAATCACCCTGATTTGGTCATTACACACAATTATCAAATGATCACGCTTGTAACCTAATAACTATGTACAATTATGGCAAGAAAAAGTAAATCCTCTACAAACCAGCAAACTCTTAGGTTTACCAGTAAAAAAAAAATCAGTCTGTTGACAAAAAAAATGTAAAGTCATTGAGAAGTACCGTATTTCCCTTAATGTGTACAGGAGGCCTCATCTAAAACATGTGTAACTGAAAAGCAAAAATCACCTTTGGTTCCACTTGGAAAATATCCACACAGATTATAAAAAAAAGGAAGCAATCTATTTTAGAGGTGACAGACTTTTCAAAAGGAAAATAATAAATAAACGTACACTATTGAGTAAGATGTTTTTGTTCTGGAGCAGGCAAGAACATACTACTATCAAAATTAAGCAGTTAAAATTAAACTGATCATTTTTTCCCAAGAATAGCTACCTAACACTACAGTATAACTTTTAATTCACATTTCTTTCCCTTACATGTGCTCACCTTCAAATATCAGCATCCAATTCACTTAAAAAATTACAAGTTTGTCCATGTTTAATTTTGTGCTTTTTCAGAAAATGAAAGATATCAAATTAAAAAATAAGCATGTCATTTGGCCAAACTAAAAATATTCCCTTAAATACTAACCGGTATTGCCAGGTCCCATTACTTTTAAGACCATTTAGAAATGCTTTTAATGGATGTTACTATTCCCTCACATATGTTCTATTCTTTCCTTTAAGAGACCTGTGTCAATCAGCTTGCAAATTCTACAAATTTTAGGAAGGTTCAGAAAATTTCTGAAGTCAACTGAATAGATATCATTAAACACACACAAAAAATGACATCATGATTATACTTCCTGAATTACATTATGAATGAGATGCTTACATGTTTTCACCGCAAAATGACTGGGTGTATTTTCTCTGATGATGCAATCTGTGAAAATGTATGACAAAATCAAAATCTAACTGTGATTTTCAAAATACAGTGGGAAAGTGTATTGTACACCTCTCAAATCCAACAATATTTAAGCTAAAGTGATGGGCAAGAGCACCTCATATATAAAATGTTTTTGATGCTTCAACAAATAAATCATTACAAGAGTTTGCTTCTTGTCACAACCACAAAGTGTCAGAGTTCTGAAACCTCAAACTCAAACCTACAACCACTTTAATTACTGCCAAAGCAACTGAAGCAGATGGTTGCCTATATACACCCTGAGACCCAAAATCTACTGTCTTCAAAGGCAAATATGTATTCCTTAACTGTGACCCCTTTATTAGACAAGTTTAAAACTTACAGAGCCCATACCTTCTAGAAACAAAAAAACAGAAAGTAGTATTTCATTCACATAACACTCAAGTTGAAAAAGATCATTACTAGGCACAAGTCCGGGAGGCAATTAAGAGTTTTCTTACCCAGGGGGCATGCCTGGCATAACAGGTGGCATTCCTGGCATCAGAGGGGGAACTCCTGGCATTAATGGAGGTATGCCTACAATTAAGAATGTCAACAAAAAAATTACAAATTAGCATTAAGGAGTTTGAGACAGAAAGTATTACTTCTACATCATATCAATAAAGTTCTAAGAATGTTAACTTTTAAGAAACCTTATGCTCTACCTGGAGGCATTCCTGGTGCTCCTGGAACTGGTGGCAATCCAGGCTGTGCCATTGGGGGAATATAACCTTGCTGAGGTTGAACAGGCTGTGGCTGAAACGAAGTTGAAGCTGCAGAGTCGTCATCATCATATTCATCAGAATCATCTTGTTGCTTCTTTTTTTGACTCTCTGCTAAAAAAGTTCTAATTAACTCTTCCCATAGAGCTAAAATCTAATAAAGTTTAGGACAGTCTACATTCAAGTATATTTCAGTGCAATTAGCTCATGAGATTTTTTTTTTTTTGGACAGGCAGAGTGGACAGTGAAGAGAGAGAGACAGAGAGAAAGGTCTTCCTTTGCCGTTGGTTCACCCTCCAATGGCTGCCACAGCTGGCGTGCTGCGGCTGGCGCACCGTTCGGATACCAAGCCAGGAGCCACGTGCCTCTCCAGGTCTCCCATGCCGGTGCAGGGCCCAAGCACTTGGGCCATCCTCCACTGCACTCCCTGGCCACAGCAGAGAGCTGGCCTGGAAGAGGGGCAACCGGGACAGAATCCAGCACCCTGACTGGGACTAGAACCCGGTGTGCCAGCGCCACTAGGTGGAGGATTAGCCTACTGAGCCACGGAGCCGGCTGAAACTACTCTTCTTAATTGAGGTTAACATCCTTTCCCTACCCTATGGAAGGAAAAATCATTATCCTGTTATTTAAAAGCAGTTTTCTATTCCACCACAATAAGGCTAACAATGAAGGTCTGGCTTCTCTGTAAAATTTTTTGAAACAATTCATGTATGGTTGACAGCTTCCACGGGGTGCATGCAGTGTGCAATGCATTAAGTCATCCTATATTGGAGGGCCTGGCTGAGTCCCAGCCACGATCTTTTGATTAAGCTTCCTGATAATAATGTGCCTGGAAAGGCAGCAGAGGATGGCTTAAGTACTTGAGTTCCTGGAACCATGTGGAAACCCCAGGTGGAGCTCCTGAATCCTGGCTTGAGCCTGGTACAGACCAACCCTGTTTGTCCTGGGCATATAGGGAGTGATCCAGGATGGCTCTGTGTCTTTCAAACAAATAAAAAAAATTTTTAAAAAAATTTTTTTTTTTTTTTTTTTTAAGATTTATTTATTTGAAAGGTAGAGTTACAGACGGAGGCAGAGAGAGAGAGAGAGAGAGAATTTTTTTTTTTTTTTTTTTTTTTTGACAGGCAGAGTGGACAGTGAGAGAGAGAGACAGAGAGAAAGGTCTTCCTTTTGCCGTTGGTTCACCCTCCAATGGCCGCCGCTGCAGCCGGCGCACCGCGCTGATCCTGGCAGGAGCCAGGAGCCAGGTGCTTTTCCTGGTCTCCCATGGGGTGCAGGGCCCAAGCACCTGGGCCATCCTCCACTGCACTCCCTGGCCATAGCAGAGAGCTGGCCTGGAAGAGGGGCAACCGGGACAGAATCCGGCGCCCCAACCGGGACTAGAACCCGGTGTGCCGGCGCCGCTAGGTGGAGGATTAGCCTATTGAGCCACGGCGCCGGCTTTAAATAATTTTTTTAAAGTAACTGCTTCTACCAAGCCGGATAGTGCACAGCTTCAAATTCCAAGTTAAACAACAGCAATAACCATAAGATATAAAGAAAAAAAAGAACTCAAAAGTTTAGAATTCTGAATAAATCTATCATCTAATATTACATTTGTACCTGAGAAGTAAAAATGTGTAACAAATAAATCTTAATCTTTACCTTGCGTTTTCTGTTCAAGAAGTCGTCGTCTTTCATCCATGTCTTTTTCTGGAATACCTTCCATGCCATATATTTCCAACTCAATGTCTGTTCTCCCAGGTATTGCATTTGGTACAGCATCTATTGTCTCTTTATGCACCTAACATTAAAAGAACACCCCCCCCAAAAAAAAAAAACAAAAAACAAAAATCTTCCATTAGGTAAATAAGAGTGCCCAAGTTTTAAATTTTTACAAACTTTTACTTACTTGAAAGGCAGAGAGAAAGATAAAGACAGCAAAGAGATCCTTCATCCACTGGTTCACTCCCCAAATGCCTGCAACAGTCAGACTGGACAAAACCAGATGAAAGCTAAGAACCTGGAACATAATCCAGGTCTCCCATACTGGTGGCAATGACCAAAACACTGAACTGCCTCCACAGGTTCATATTAGCAGGATAGAAGCAGAGCCTAAAAAAAGACCTGGCTAACATATACTAAAGACTCAATAATCTTTCAAGTTTATGACTGTCCAAATGATTACAACAGATCACTAGTTGTACCCAAATTCACAGATACTAAAACCATGAAACATCATCTTAATTTACTTAGTAAAGTTAATTCTCCAAGAACAGATCCTGAGGCAAGACTGTAGTTACAAACTGTAAGCTACAATTAGTGTCACCCACAACTAATTAGTTCCTAGCTTAGTCAGTTCCTGGCGGCATTTAACATTTTCATAATAACAATCCTGTTACTTTATAGCTTTGAATTTATTTAGTGAGCCACAAAGAGGCTCTGAAAACATTCACTGATTTAGGACCATTTTTTCACTGTACAGTTTTTGCCTGATCAAACATGTGCAACCCACAAACCTGGACAAATTTTGCCTAGCTAGACTCAAGCTAGAAAAACACTTACTTAATAACTGCTCAACCAGTGTCTTAATTCTTTTGCTTTCCAAATTTTTTAGAATGTTGCCACTCTTGATAACTACAGATGAAACTCTAAATACTCTTTAAAGACATATACTTCATTAATCTTCACATCTGAGAGATAAGGCAACAATAAAGATACCAGGAAGTACAGGAAAATGATTTGCTTAAAATCTTCCCATTATGGTACAGGCAAAACTGTATTTCACAGATCCCTAACGAGAAGTCACATAGTCATCAGTGACTGAAAGAATAGGAGCAGGAACTGCTGAGAATCTGCGGTGAGCTAACTTACTAATGTTCTGTGGAGATAATCATATATAAAACTAGAGTATGTAAGATATAACTGCCATGCTGTTGCTGTGAAAATAAGACTGCATAAATGAAAGCACTTAGTCAATTAAAAATGAAAATAACAGGACGGCGCCGTGGCTCACTAGGCTAATCCTCCACCTTGCGGCGCCGGCACACCGGGTTCTAGTCCCGGTCGGGGCACCGAATTCTGTCCCGGTTGCCCCTCTTCCAGGCCAGCTCTCTGCTGTGGCCAGGGAGTGCAGTGGAGGATGGCCCAAGTGCTTGGGCCCTGCACCCCATGGGAGACCAGGAGAAGCACCCGGCTCCTGGCTCCTGCCATCGGATCAGCGCGGTGCACCAGCCGCAGCGCGCCGGGCGTGGCGGCCATTGGAGGGTGAACCAACGGCAAAGGAAGACCTTTCTCTCTGTCCCTCTCTCACTGTCCACTCTGCCTGTCAAAAAAAAAAATGAAAAAAAAAAATGAAAATAACAGTTTCTCATGTAATGTTCCAGCTTCCAATCCGTTTCTCTGCTCTTCTCTAGAACACAACTCCTTAAAGAGGGCCTCTACTTTCTCTCCTGCTCTTTTCAAAGCACTTTAATGAAATTTCCCTAGTCTTCATTATTCTAGAAATCACTCTTGCCAAAGTGACAAATGACTTCAACTTGATTAAATCCAATCTCAGCCCTCTCACTTGCATTTGACTGTCAAAATAAACCACCAGCACTGAAATCAGTTCAATTATTCACTCCTTGAAATACTTCATGGCTTCCCAGAACACTGCTTTTTTATTTTCTTTGAATTTCCTTGGATGAGCTCTTCTCATCTTCTGGCTCCTAAATGCTGGTAGTGACCCAGGGCAGAGACCTCTTTCCCTTCCCACCATACCGCCTAAAGAACACCTAGTATCAAGGCTTAAACTAGCCATTCTTTCACTGTATCCTCCCAAATTTCTCTTTTCAACTCCAACTTCACTGAACTCCAGACCTGCATAAACAACTGCTTATAATATATTTTATGCTTATAATATACAGCAATCCCTCTTACATAAAGTAGCAGATGCTACCTCTTGTCTTCATTCTAGAATATTCCTGACGTGAAGGCCTTCCATTCGATGCTTCCCAGACAGTCTACCTCATTTCCTTTCAGATATCTGCTCAGATGTCAACTTCTTATTCAGGTCTTTCCTAATTACTTCATGACCCTCCCTATGCTCCCCTACCTGTTTTAGTTTTCTGTATCATGTAATAACATAAAATTAAGTATTTATAAGTTGCTTTCTTCCACAATATCAATCTAAACTTCACAATGGCAAAGACTTTTATTCTCTCTTGTATACCCAGCACCTTAAACTGTACCTAGCACAGTGCTGTCCTGTAAAGAACTTTTTGTGATTAATGAAAATTGTCTTTATGTCTACATTATCCCAATATAACAGTCATCCACTACTCACAGATGACTACCAAGCACTGCAAACAGGGTTGTGATGTGACTGAGGAAATGGAATTTTTTAATCTTTAATTTAAAAATCTAAGTGTCACTGGAGTAAAAGTGATCTATGTAAGTTTTTTTTTTTTTAATTTGACAGGCAGAGAAACGTATCTTGTCTGCCCTTTTTCACTCCCAAATGTCAGCATACACTGGTAGAAAGCAAGAACACAATGCTTAAAAATAAATGTATAGTGGCCAGCATTTTTGTAGTGGTTAATTGAAGCAGATTAAGACACTGCTTTTGGGCCGGTGCCGTGGCTCAGTAGGCTAATCCTCCGCCTTGCAGCGCTGGCACACCAGGTTCTAGTCCCGGTCGGGGCACCGGATTCTGTCCCGGTTGCCCCTCTTCCAGGCCAGCTCTCTGCTGTGGCCCGGGAATGCAGTGGAGGATGGCCCAAGTGCTTGGGCCCTGCACCCGCGTGGGAGACCAGAAGTACCTGGCTCCTGCCATCGGATGCAGCGCGCCGGCCGCAGCGGCCATTGGAGGGTAAACCAACAGCAAAGGAAGACCTTTCTCTCTGTCTCTCACTATCCACTCTGCCTGTCAAAAAAAAAAAAAAGACACTGCTTTTGACAACACCCCTTACAGCAGTGTCAGCTGCTTCACTGGCAATCCGGCTTCCTGCTCCTGTGTCTGGGAAGGCAGCGGATAATGGCGCAAGTGCTTGGGCTCCTGCCACCCAGGTAGGAGACTAGGAAGGAGTTCCTTGCTCTTAGTTTTGGCCTGGCCCACCCCTGGTCATTGAGGCCACATTTGAGGAGTGAACTAACATAGCTCTCTGACTCTCCAACTCTGCCTTCCAAATAAATAAATCTTAAAAAAAAAAAAAAAAGCCAATTTACATTCTTAATTTTAATACTATAAAAACATTTTTAAAGCTAGCTGGTTATCTTTTGTAAGAAATCAGAAACTACAGTTGTGAAGGAAAAATTTAAGATTCTTCTTTCATGTTTTGAAATTACAAGGGAACAAAAATTAAACAGATAAAAATCACTTACCTGCATGCAATGAATAGCTAAGCCAGGTCCTGTATACAATTTCTTATGACATATGTGGCATTTGAAATGCTTTGCTTTTTGGTGCTGTATCAGGATCTTCTCATCATCAAAATCTCTGTTACAATACCTGATCAATATCGTTAAGGTACAAAACTAACTTAACAAGGACTATGACAATGTCCGTAGTGTGTCATGATGGGAACAGAAATAACATGTAGTCAACTAAAACCAAAACAGTATTTTACAAAAATCTGGTTTTGATATTCATTACACAAAGATCACACTTGCCATATAATTTCAGTATCTTAAATTTCCTAGAAGCACCTCTTCATCATCCTAAACACATTTCAGTGATCAGCAATATACTTTTATTAACTTCCTGTGTTAAACAGAGATGTTAGGTTTTTTTGTGTTAAATACTTACAAATGCATTAGGGATAGAAAGTTTCAATGATAAGAAATCCCCAAATTTATGTCACAACAAAACTGATTTCAAGACAGAACTCACTAGATTAAAAAAAAAAAACCTACAAAATTTACCAATATTTAGAACTAAAATTAACTTTGCTGTGAACGACACATAATTTCAAATGGACAATCCACAAAGTTGTGTGCAATTTCATTTTAATTTACGCTGCCAAGGAACGTATCTGAACTCACAAATGAGTTCAGTCAAGCTGTTGATTCTTACTTAAATAATCGTTAAAGAACACTACAAAATTCGTGATCGATTTTAAGCTGGTTTTTAACTATTATAAACAGTTCCGTAACAAACCCATTTTTAGGTGTAAGGAAATCTTTACGAAAAGTCCATTAACGCTTCCGGGAAACTCATTGAAAGGATGCCATTTCCTATTAAAACAGCCCCCCCCCCCCAAGTCCTACAAAGCTGGGAAACGAACACAGAAAACTCTGCCAAATAAAACGCTTCCAATAGATTAAGGCACCTTGGGGTGAGGCTGGATAAGATAGCTCTCCGTCAGGCCGGAAAAAAAAAAAAGAAAGAAGGGCGCGGTGATGGTGGCTCAAAACTAGGGCTGATTACCTTGCCTTTCCTAAAGCACCGATTCCGCAAGGGGAAAAGAAAAAAAATTACAAGCGGATAAGTCCGGAAGCCCTTCCCGAATCCTCCACGGACCCAATCACCGCATTACACTCGAGGAAAGTCCCTCGTAGAAATCACCACCCGACTGGGAGCGCGGCCGAACAGTCCTGAGGGGACACTGCCCTTCATGGAGGGGTCCAGGCCGCCTCCCACACCGCCAGCCGCACCAGGCTCGAACCGCCTGAGTCATGGAGCCCCACGACCCACAACCGCCACAGCCTCTCGCCCACGGGCTTCGTTTCCCGAGACGCCTTCCCCGACCCTACTCCAGTCACCACGCCACCCACCGCGAGGCCTAAACCCCGGACGCTCCCCGCCACAGGCCACATCCAGGCCTCCCGGTCCGCCTCACCCCGCGCCCCGGCCCGGCCTCGATTTCGAACCACAAAGGATATCAGCACCACGGCTTCAGCTGCTTCTTCTTCTTGCGACCCATGACGGCGCTCTACCGACAAAGCAGAAAGGAAAAAGGAAGAAGCAGGAGAAACGAAGCGAAAAAGAGCGCTCAATTCCGCGACCCAACGGCTCCCACCGCGTCCCACAGGAAACAGACACAAAATGGCCGACACCCTCGTTCGCGGCTCCGCCTCCCGTCGGGCACTGCGGCGGGAGGCGGGGCCAGGCCAGGGAGGGTCGCAGCACGCAGACCGCCTCCCGGAGTGGGTGGGGCCTCGCGTGCGCCATCTTGTCGACTTAGGCGGTCCCGCCCGCCTTGGGGGGCAGTGCCTGCTGGTTCCGGTCCGCCTGCTCCCGGCGGGTTTCTTTTGAAAGCGGATCCGGCGACCTAGGTACAACGAGACGCGTTAGAATTGAAGGAGAAATAGAGAGCGAAAGAGAATTACCAGGGTAATTAAAAGCACGTTGCAAGTAAGGGACAATTGAAATAGCGCCCAACTTTTTATTAGTTGCCCAGGTGACTCTTTCCTTCAGTAGGTGTTGGTAATGTGCCTACTACGTGCTACCGGAAGAGAGTGACAGTCTGCCTTGTAGCTCAGTGGTGGCAGAGCACAAGGCAGTGTGGCCAGTGCGGTAGGACCTCAGAGCGGCGCAAGCCTGGCACGCCTTGGCAGTCACGGGGTGCGGAGAAAGCTTTTCTGAAGGTCAGTGGAGGAAGCCGCGAGGGGCTGAATGGAGAGCTCACTCAGAGAGCAGAAGGTGCAGGTCCCTGAGCCTGGGCCCCCAGTGGGATTGGCGCTCATACGGAAGCTTGGGGAGGCTGGCAAAGGGGAAGCCCTGCGCATTCCTAGAACATTCTGGCAACTTGAGTTTTGTGCTGAGGTCTCTGCGAAGCCACGGTGGAGTTTTAAGATAGCAAGTGGAGAACAATGCAAATAAGAGGTGGCTAAGAGTCCAGTGCTTGCGTTCTGATTCCAACCAGTGCCCCTGCCGAGCGGCCTGACTTTGGGCAAAGCACTTAAACTTCATCCGGCTGCATAATGCGGTTTGGCATATAGCATGAGCTAGTAATGTTATGTGTCGCTGTTAAGGGGCAAAAATTAGAGCAGACATCCTTGGAGCACTTAGTGTTGGCCAGGAGTTGTGGTAGGTTTTCCTCCAGTCTGTGATGTGGCGCCATTATTGTCAGCGTGCTGGTATAGATCAGATCAAACAGGCTGAGAGAGCTAGAATAATTTACCCAAATATCACATAGTTGACAAGGGTGAAAGCTGAAGGAGATTTGTATTTTAGAAATACCTCTTTGGCTGCAGTGTGGACTGTACATTGGCAGGGGCTTAGAGAAAGGCAGTTAGTGAGAATGTGACAGTATAACCCTGGTCTCCACAGAAAAAGATATTCTGAAGTAGGGTAGTGGTACAGGAAGTTATAAATTCTTCCAAACATGAACAACTATACAAGGGAATTCTACATAGTACCAAGCATCCTGCCAAAGCCAAAAACCAAAAAAGTGAGCCAGTGGAGAAAAAGATCTTCATTCACTTCTACTCAGTGCTTGTGCTGAAGATTTGTTCAGAACAATGGGGCAAGAAAAAAGAATCCAGATTGAAAAGGAAATAAAGGGGGTCCAGCACTGTAGGCAGAGGGTTAAGCCACCACCTGTGAGGCCAGCACCCTGAGTGCTGGCTACCTGCTAATTAGTGTGCCTGGGAAAGAAGCAAAGGATGGCCCAAGTGCCTGGGCTCCTGTAGCTCCGTGGGATACCCAGATGGAATTCTAGGTTCCTGGCTTCAGCCTGGCCTAGACCTGGCTGTTTTGGCCATTTGCGGGATGAACTAGAGCAAATGGAAGATCTCTCTCTCTCTGTCTGTCTATTGAATAAATCATAAAAAAAAAAAAAAAGTGAGCTTCTTTGCAGAGAAGTTCTTTTCAGCGATAAACAGCTAAAATGACCATGAGCCCTAACCAAACTGGTGTCCTTATAGAAGAGGGAATTTGTGGGGCCAGCATTGAGATCTCTTTCTCTCTCTGTCTCTAACTCTGCCTTTCAAATAAATAAATGTTTAAAAAAGAGAGAGAGAGAGAGAATTAGTGCATAGAGGCACACAGGAAGACAGCTTTCTGTAAGCCAAGGAGAAAGGCCTGGAACAGATCCTTCCCCCACAACCCTCTGAACCCTCTGGAGGAACCAACCCCACTGACATCAGTTGTACTTCTAGCATCTAGAAGTGAGAGATAATAAATTCCTGTTGCTTAAGCCCCTCAGTCTGATACTTTGTTAGGGCAACTGTAGCAAACACATACTAATATATGAGATATATGAAATGTGCAAAGTACTAAGGGAGCTGTAGTAAAAAAATATTATAGCTAATGGAATTCAACAGGATTCATGATACAAGATAAATATATAGGGCCAGAGTTGTAACACAGTGGGTTAAGCTGCCACCTGCAACCCCGATATCACATATGGGCACCAGTTTGAGTCCCAGCTGCTCTACTTCTGATCCCGGCTGATGCACCTGGGAAACAGCAAACATGGCCCAAGTGCTTGGGCCTTTGCAGTCACGTGGAAGACCCAAAAGGAATTCCTGATTCAGCCTGGCCCAGACCTGTCTACTGTGGTCATTTGCAGAGTGAACAAGTGGATGGAAGACATACCTACTTCTCCTGTTTTCTCTTTCCCTCTCTATAACTCTGACTTTCAAATAAATAAGTAAATCCTTACCAAAGAAACAGTGTTTCGCAGAGTTCTGGTTGGGGAACCCACATTGTGGCATAACAGGTAAAACCACCACCTACGACACCAGGTGCTGGTTCCCATCTCCACTGCCGTGCTTCTGATCCACCTTTCTGCTAATGCACCTGGGAAGGCAGTGGAGGATGGTCCACGTGTTTCCTGCTATCTACATGGGAGACCAGGAAGAAGCGCCTGGATTCTGGCTTCAGCCTAGCCCTGCCCCGGCCATTGCAGCCATCAGGGGAGTGAACCAGTGGATGGAAGATCCCTCTCTCCCATTCTCTCTGTAACTCTGGTATTCAAATAATAAATCTTAAAGAGTTTTGCAGGTTTGTATGTCCAAGTTCAAGGTGCTGGCATTTGGTGTCTAGTGAGGGCCTTCCTCCTGTGTCTTTGTGTGGTAGAAGGTGAAAGCACAGGAGGGCAGTTAGTTCCCTGTTGCCCTTTTATGAAATCACTATTCCCCTTCAGAAGGCCCTGCCCTCATGAATTAATCAGACTGACAGAGAAACAGAGATCTTCCATCCGCTGGTTCACTCCCCATATGGCTGCAACAGCCAGGTCTGACTCCATCCACATCTCCCATGAGGATATAAGGAGCCCATCTGCTGCTGCTTTCCCAGGTGCATCAGCAGGGAGCTGGATCTGAAGCAGAGCAGTCAGGACTCCAACCAGCACTTTGATATGGGAGGCCAATAACACAAGTGGCAGCCTGGGAGCCCCGGCCATTGCAGCCACATAGGGAGTGAATCAGAAGATGGAAAATATCTTTCTCTGTCTCCTTCTCTCAACTCTGACTTTCAAATAAATCTTTTTAAAAAATAGCAGTATAAGCATATTCTGTAGAAATAATGGAGGTAAATGTAGGCATAAACAGACAAAAGAATTAATTGCTTCTGAGAAGCTGTACTCAGAAATGAGGAAGCAAGGAACAGTGTATTACTTGAGTATATACCTTTTAGTACCTTTTTTTTTTTTACAGTTTTATTGAGGTATAACTGACATACAGTGAGCTGCACATATTCAGAGTACACAATGTGATGTGCTGACATTTGTGTATACTCATGAAACCATGATCACCATCAAGGTAGTGGTTGTACCCATCTGGTGCAATAGTTTCCCAGTACCCCTTCATAACTGCTCCCTCTTGCTCCTCCGTGCTCCTTCCCCCAGCAACCTCTCTTCATTCTGTCACTGTAGATTATGTTTCATTTTCTAGGGTTCCATGTGCCCTATAGATGGAATCACAGTACACACACTCTTTTTTGAACTGACTTATTTTACTCAGCATAATTATTTACAGATTCATTCTTGTTGCATGTTAGTTCTTTTATTGTTATCATTACTGAGTAACATTCTATTGTATGGTTTGAAACAACACAATTGATTGTAAAAGTTAGCTTACTGTTCTGGAGGCCAGAAGTCTAAGATGCTCCTGAAGATTCCAGGGAAGAATCCGTTTATCACCTTCTCTAGCTTCCAAAGACTGCCCGCTTTCCTTGGTTCATGGTCCCACATTACTCCAAACCTCTCATCTCATCTCGGCTTGCTTGCTCCTTTTTTAAGGTTTACTTGTTTATTTGAAAGGCAGACAGGAGAGGCAGAAAGATATCTGCTTGCTGGTTCACTCCCCAAATGGCCGCAGGGGTCAGGCTTCAGCTGGGTCTCTCACATCAGTGCAGGGGCTCAAGCACTTTGGGCCATCTTCTGCTGCTTAGCGGACAGCTGGACTAGAAGTGAAGCAGTCAAGACTCAAACCCAAGACCATATAGGATGCCAGCACTGCCTTAATGCATTTTGCCACAGAGCCAGCTCTGGTCACCTTGGCCTTCATTATGATATCTTCTCCTCTCTGGTCTCCTTCCTCACTCTCACAAGAACCCCTGTGAATGGATACATTGGGTCCACTTGGATAATCCAGGATGGTGTTCCAGACTCACCACTTTTGATGTAACGCACCTGTAAAGTCCCCCATTGCATGCCAAGTAACATATTCTTGGATTTTACAGTTAGGATGTGGATTTTTTGTAAATGCCATGATTTACTTAATAAATCTCTTATTAACCAACATTCAGATTGTATTTAGTCTTGAATTACAAATGATGCTGGGAGGAATATCTTTGGACTCATGTATTTTCAAGTTTATGTGAATGCACCTATCTGATGATGTTCCAGGTGTTCTAACAAAAGTCAAAATGTGTGTTCATTTGAAATACTAATATTCTTGATTTTCTTTCCAAAACGTGTATTAATTTTGTTTCTATCAACCATTTATGAGAGTGCTTGCTTCCCCACATGCCCCAACACAGGGTATTATCAAACTTTTAAGTCTTTGCTTATTTGCCGGGATCAAACTTTTAAGTCTTTGCTTATTTGCCGGGTAAAAGGAAACATTAACAGTGTTTCATCATTTTTAAATTTTTAGTAAGCACTATGTATTCCTCACTTTTCTTTTTCTGTATACTACATTTTTGTTGCTGTTGCTGCCTATTGATGACTGAATGCTCTCCATCTCGAGTATATTTTCTCTGTCATCTGTGTTGTTTAGTTATTTATGGTCATAATTATTTATGTTTAGTTTTTATGTGGTCATAGTTATTAAATGTTTTCTCGTATGGCTCCTTAGTGTTTAGTTTAGAAAGACCTTCCTCAAGAGTTTCTATGGCTCTCCTAGTCTTTCACTTGTTGTTGGTTTAATTCTCAAACCTTTGATCGAACTGTGCGTGTTCGCGCGCGCCCCAGAGCAGACAAGAGAGCCGGCCTCACTCTTTCCCAGGGGCTAGCTCCTTTATCATAAAGGAAGTCTTCCAGAAGTCTCAAACGATAGCCGTTAGAGAAAAATGAGTTAAAAACAAATGGTAAAAGCTTTTCCGTAAGGGCGAACTCAAGAGCGCCCACCGGCCCCTGCAAGGAGAAAAGCTTGCTTTCCGCGCCAGCTTCTTGGCCGAGGACCCCGGAAGGCAGCGGAACGCAGGTGTGCGAGTGCCGGGGGCGGGCCGAGCCCAGCCACCGAGGACTGTACGGCAGCTGGGGAACGGTTTGACGGGGACACAGGGCCGCTCTGAGGCCGGCGAGATGCTCCCTTCGTTGCAGGAATCGCTGGATGGGGACGAAAAGGAGCTGGAGAGCAGCGAGGAGGGCGGCCCTGCAGAGGAGCGGAGACTCGAGCCGCCGCCCAGCAGCCACTACTGTCTCTACAGCTACCGCGGAAGCAGGTGCGGGCGCCCGGCCCGGCCTCCCTGGCCGCCCCTGCGGCCCCGCCCGGGTCCTGCCCCCCAGCCCGGCACCCCACCCCTGGCCCGGCGGCCTGGCAGCGCCCACGCTGCACCTTCTCCTCTCCCAGCCTAGGGCTCTGGCCTGAAGGGCCCCCCGGCCTCAAGCCCTGTGGCCGCTATCTGTCCACGTGTCATCTCAGCCCCTGCCTTTCGCCCCTACTCTTGGTTTAGTGCCCAGCCCTGCACGCTCAGCCTCTGGCCTTCCTGTCATGATCTCCCCACAAGCCCCGTTTCTGCCACACAGCCCCTGTCCTTTCTGTGGCTTTTCCTTCCTCCTGGCTGACTGTTCCTGGGGCTGTTGGCGTTGTGAAGTCTGGTTTTTCTTTTAAGAGGAGTTTTGTCAAAGTGCTGGGTGTTAAACCTTTCTGCATCCCTTAGATGTCCTGAGAGAGGGGCTCTTGACAGCACTGTCAGAGGAGGGCACTGCCACCTTGCAGTATTTTTAGTTGACTCCTCGCCCCCTCCCCCGGATGAGGCCCTCATACGCCCCTTAATTTGGAACCCGAAATTGACAGCATTATTATTGCTTCTGTGGCTTACAGATTGGCACAGCAACGAGGGGACAGTGATGATGGAAGCCCAGGTGGCACAAACGCAGACACTCCCTCTGGTGATGATTTCAGGTAAAAATCGCGTAACCCGTGCTTGTGCTTTTGCCAGCCGATGTCAGCGGCTATGGTATTTCCACGGTGCTTCACTGAGTCAAACCACCCATTCGTCCTCCCCTGAGGAGCCTCATCCTGACTCATTCATTCCCTGACAGTGCCCCTGGTGATCTGCTAGAGAGAATTAGTCTGAATTTCTTAATTGGAACTCCAGTGAAATATTCAATATCATGTTGCCGCCCTTTGACTATTTAGCGGCTCCTGTACCATACGCTAGAATGTAAACTCCAGCAAGGGTTGGCTCTTTTGTTCCTTGATGTTTCCATGCCTTGTGCTTTGGTGCCTGGCACAGCGTAGACATTGAATCCATATTTATTCAATGGATGCATCAGTGCATCCTGACATTTGATGTAAAACAGGATGTAATACAAAAAATATTGTGTTCACTGAATGGGTAAAGGATGATTTTAGGGAATTTTTCAGGTAGCATAATAGTATTGTGGTTATATATGTGTATATTCCCGTTTTTCTTAGTATTTATTTACTTGAAAGGCAGAGTGATGGAGAGAGAGGGAAAGACACAGAGGAAGAGATTTTTCCATCCACTGGTTCACTCCCCAAATGCCTGCAACAGCCAGGGGCGGGCCAGGAGCAAGGAACTCCATCTGAGTCTCCCGTCTGAGTGGCAGGGATCCAAATGCTTGGGTCATTGCTGCCTTCCCAGGGGCATTAGCAGGAAGCTGGCTCTGATGCGTGGGGTAGCTGGGACGCAAAGTGCCATTCTGACATGGGACGTGGACATCCCATGCAGTGGCTTGACCCGCAACACCTGCCCCCGTGTGTATATTTTTAAAGTCCTCATCTTTTAGAGATACATAGTGAGAAATGCAATGATGCCTGAGACTTGCTTCAAAATAATCTGAGGTGGGTGGGGAACATCATGTGTGCACAGATGAAACAGGATTGGCTGTGAACTGATAACTTGAAACTAGATGGTGGGTACATGTGGGCTCATCACACCATTCTCTCTACTTTTTATGTGTTTGAAATTTTCCATAATATAAAACAAAAGACCTTGAGAAATAATGGGTTCCTATTTTTGTTGTGAAGTTTGGTGATAGAAGACCTTTTTCTTTCTTCATTCTGTTTATAATCTAATCTAAACCTGAAATACTAACCTGGTGTGTTTTTTCATGGGTCGTAGGTAGGCGGAAGTTTGAGGAAAGAGGAGAAAGAGGAGGTGATGTAGGAGTGTAGAAGAGAGAGTGAACCAGGAAATGTAGTGATACTGGGCAGCTGTTAGCGCGCACTTGGGGCTGGTGACCAGTGGCTGGAAATGAGATCAGGTACCGTGTTTGCAGGGTGTAGCCAGCCACACTGGACACAGGTGCAAGCAGGTGGAGCGCAGGACTAACAAGGCTGAAGTTTGCTAAGCAGGTGTAGTGAAATGAAAGCAGCAGAGCAGTTGGAGGAGAATGTGTACGGCACACAATTTTTTTAGTTGGAAATTATACTTCAGGTAACTTGAAAGAAAATGATGTGTGCAGGTGTGCCATTATAATGACTGACCGTAGAATTTAAGCTGAGTGAGGAGAAGGGAAGTGAGACGATAAGAAACTTGAGGGGCTGGGGAAAAGGTAGGAGCAGTGGATTGGGGGTTCCGAGGGAATCACTGCTGGAGAGAGTGAGCGAGAAAGATGCGATTCTTTTACATTGCCTGATGAGAGGGATCATACTTGGTGATACACTATCCTAGGAGCCCTCCCAGCAGGGAGGCAGACAGCTTTCCCAAGGTCTTAAAAGAGCCCCTGGCTTTGGTTCGTCCTGTTTCACTCACGGGTGTGAATGCGCCAGTCCGCTGGTAAGGAACGTGTGTCTCTCCTCCGTCCAGCCTCTCCTTGGTGGACACTAATCTGCCATCAGAAGTGGAGCCGGAGCTGCGCAGTTTCATTGCTAAGCGTCTTTCGAAGGGAGCGGTCTTTGAAGGGCTGGGTAATGTTGCATCTGTGGAGCTGAGGTACGTGTAAAAATGTGCTGTGTCCTGAGTGTGTATTTCTGAGTTCAGTGTGAGAAGTGACAAGCAACTCCAGAAGATCGGCTCTTGCTGCACCGGCAGTCTTGCTTCTCTTGCAGCCCAAGCACTGGGCCTCCCACACAAATGGGGAACAGACCCAGTGGAGTGGCAGAGGCTCTGGCACCCAAGTGAACTTTCGTTTTGTACTTGGAAGAGAAGAGTGATTTCACAGAACTCAACCTGGACACTTTAAAGTTTGTGAAGTGTTTTCCCAAACTCCGATGCAATTTTCCCCGACCAAGCTGGGGTGCAGCAGACACTCTGACTTCCATGTTCAGATGGGGAAAGAAACTCAGCAAGGTTGAGTGGCACCCCGGGTCACAAGGCCAGTTATATCAATGGAGTTCTTCAATTGCTGCATTTTGGTTCAGAGATGAAGTCGGCATACAGATCCCCTCAGGGGTGGGAGGCAGGGCTCAAGAGGAGGCCACAGGATAAACACAGCCCATCTGCCTGAGGCAGCAGTGATCTGTGAAGGTTTGGGGGAGGGAGGGAGCATGCTTATTTGAATGTAAACATGGGTGTGCTATGAACAAGAGTGAGATTTGAAGTTTCACAAAAGACAGGAGAATTTAAAGAAATTTCACGCCTGGTAGGAGGCGCTTCAACCAAAGCCCTTCAGGATATAAATTCATTTTCCAGTGCTGTCCAAGTAAATCATTGAGAATTCTGGGAAGCTCTGAATTAGCAGGCAGTCCAACAGTGTTGCCAGATCAAGACAACCAGGGGTCAGAGCAGTCCTCAAATTTAGAGGCATGAGTTACCAAAATATACATTTTACCTTTTGCTTTCTTTTTCTAGAACCCCAGGGTACCAAGTTGGTTGCTATTATTGCCTTTTCCAACAAGAAAACCTGCTTCCTGAAACAGCAACACTGGACTCTGAACACAGTCCTTCAGAGTATGTGGTCTGCTTTTTAGGAGGGTCTGAAAAAGGACTTGAGCTATATCCTTTCCTTAGGTTTTTTTTTTTTTTTTAAGATTTATTTATTTATTTGCAAGTCATAGTTACATAGAGAGAAAAGAGGCAGGCAGGCAGGGAGGGAGAGAGAGAGAGAGGGAGGGAGAGAGGGAGAGAGAGGTCTTCCATCCGATGGTTCACTCCCCAGTTGGCCACAACGGCCAGAGCTGCGCAGATCCGAAGCCAGGAGCTTCTTCCAGGTCTCCCATGCAGGTGCAAGGGCCCAAGGACTTGGGCCATCTTCCACTGCTTTCCCAGGCCATAGCAGACAGCTGGATCGGAAGTGGAGCAGCCAGGTCTCGAAATGGCACCCATATGTGATGCCGGCGCTTCAGGCCAAGGTGTTAACCCACTGCGCCACAGCGCCAGCCCCTCCTTGGTTTTTGGGGATAGAAAAATGTGGGAAGGCAAGTGGAGGGATATTACTTCCAACCTCCACAAAGATTTTCTACCCCTGTATATTTACTTGAATGTCATACCTTAATATGGTTATTTCACTTAGGCTGGGTTTTATTATTATTTTTTAAAATTGTATTTGAGGCCGGCGCCGTGGCTCACTAGGCTAATCCTCCGCCTTGAGGTTCTAGTCCTGGTCGGGGCGCCAGATTCTGTCCCGGTTGCCCCTCTTCCAGGCCAGCTCTCTGCTGTGGCCAGGGAGTGCAGTGGAGGATGGCCCAAGTGCTTGGGCCCTGCACCCCATGGGAGACCAGGAGAAGCACCTGGCTCCTGCCATCGGATCAGCGCAGTGCGCCGGCCGCAGTGCACCGGCTGCGGCGGCCATTGGAGGGTGAACCAATGGCAAAAGTAAGACCTTTCTCTCTGTCTCTCTCTCTCTCACTGTCCACTCTGCCTTTCAAAAAATTTTTTTAAAAATTGTATTTGAGAGAGGAAAAGGAAGGGAAGGAGGGAGGGAGAGAGGTAGGGAGGGGGAGAGAGAGAAGGAAAGAAGGAAAGGAAGGAAGGAAGGGAGAGGGAGGGAGGGAGGAAGAGCAAGGAGAGGGGAGAGGGGAGAAGGGAGAGGAGAGGGAAAGAATATGGCTATGCTCCCATCTTCCTTCCGTTGGTTCACTCCCCAAATGGCTGCTACAGCCGGCGCACTGGGCCGATCTGAAGCCAGGAGCCAGGTGCTTCCTCCTGGTCTCCCATGGGGTGCAGGGCCCAAGCACTTGGGCCATCCTCCACTGCCCTCCCGGGCCACAGCAGAGAGCTGGACTGGAAGAGGAGCAACCGGGATTAGAACCTGGCACCCATATGGGATGCCAGCACCACAGGCAGAGGATTAGCCAAGTGAGCCACAGCGCCGGCCCCATGTGAGGTAGGCATTTTAAGTGGCTTCTTAACCATGAGGCCAAATGCCTACCCCATCCTTGGCTTGTTTTAATGTATAGTTTGCATTATTTCAGAGACTTTACATTTCTGGTAGAGATTAAACATTATCTTGATTATTCATCCTTTATTGCTTCCTTAAGAACATACTTTCAGGCTTGAATTGGACAAGTACATTCAAGGACTTAAAAATGACATGACCTGTGAGGTAAGGTGACTGATTAATAGTTTTTAAAGAAATGATTAACATACTGTGACTGCTCTATCTGGCAAATCACATAGGTAGACACAAAAATACCTAAATTCTGAAAACTTGCCACCTTGTGGGATAGCAGACAGGTGATTTTTAAGGGAAGCAGGGAACATGGTCCTTTAAGTGCCAAAAATTTCCCTGGACTGCTCCTGAGATTTTCTATCTGTAAAAAATTCACTCTGTTTCATGGAATGGCTGGTCAGCAAGAGGATGCGCTTTCTTATTTCTAGGCCTGTAAGATTTATATTCTAGTCCTTTTACAAACAGTCCGTGTGGCCTCTGGCACCCAGAGATATGCTATCCAGTGGGTCTAGCTGTCTTTGGACTCCATGTCAAAGATTTTTAGAAACGTTCCGTTAATCGATTCTTTATGAATTAGATATATCTATGTTGACTACTTTACCCCAACCTTTTAAAAACTATGCGTTCAGCATGCAGCAGTTGTTGAAGTCATAACTCCTAGATTGACTTCCTGTCACACGCAGTGACAGTTCTTTTTACTTGTCATGTACTTACTCGACACCGCAGGAGGCGAGGTTAGTGAAGGAAGGAGCCAGGCGCGTGAGTCTGGGGGAGCTCTTCCTGTGTGACACTAGGCCCCAGAGAGAAGCCAGAGGTGCCGAGGGTAGCATTCTGACACCTGCACTTTGCTATTTGTATCCTTTCCTGTTCATATTTTGAATATGAATGAATGCTCTACTTCAGTCATTCACTGGGCACTTAAGCAGCTCACACTAATGTTTCAGACACAGGTGCTCGGGAAATAAGGATTATTGGAGAGTATCTCCAATGAGTGCACAATGAGTGGGGAAGATAGACGTGTAAATGCCCAACTCTTCCCAAGCAAGAAAGAGCACAGAACTCTATTAGTTCAGTCTTTTTCATTTTATGTAATGAATTCTCTGTGGATTTAAAGAAATTTAGTGCAGGGTTAATCCCTATCCTGCCCAATAAATATAATTCCTTTTTTTTTTTTGAAAAATTTATTTATTCGAAAGTCAGAGTTAGAGACATCTTTCATCTGCTTGCTCACTCCCCAGATGGCCACAATGGCCAGGCCAAAGCCAGGAGCCTCATCTGGGTCTCCCATGTGAGTGGCAGGGCCCCAAACACTTGGGCCATCCTCCACGTATTTTCCCAGGTGCATTAGCAGGGAGCTAGATAGGAAGTGAAGCAGCTAGGACATGAACCGGCACCCATATGGGATGCCGGCGTTGTAGGCAGTGGCTTTACCTGCTACACCATAATGCTAGCCCTCACTGGTAGCGTTAGGTTATAAAAAGGAGATGTTGGGGCCACTGCTGTGGTGTAGAGGGTAAAGCCGGTGCCTGCAGTGCCGGCATCCCATATGGGCACCAGTTCGAGTCCCAGCTGCCCATTTATGACCCAGCTCTCTGCTATGGCCTGGGAAAGCAGCAGAAGATGGCCTAAGTCCTTGGCCCCTGCACCCATGCTGGAGACCCAGAGGAAGCTCCTGGCTCCAGATCAGTGCAGCTCCAGCCGTTGCAGCCAACTGTGGAGTGAATCAGTGGATGGAAGCCCTCTCTCCCTCTCTCTGCTCTCCTTCTCTGTGCAACTCTGACTTTCAAATAAATAAATCTTTTTAAAAAAATAAAAATAAATAAAAAGGAGATGTCTATCCCAGTTCTTTCACAGTCAAGTGTATGGTGAGTAAATTGCTATGTTCACCAGCTTCTATTCAGGCAGATGTCATCTCCTCACCTAGGAAATGGGCCTGGAGAAGGGCATCAAGTCCTATCTGAGCAGCTGGTTTGAGGACGTGGTGTGCCCCATCCAAAGGGTCGTTCTTCTCTTCCAGGAGAAGCTTACCTTTCTGCTGCATGCGGTGAGTGTTGTCCAAACAAGAGCACTTCCTGAAGCCAGAGTTGCTTTGGTAGCGTTTCTATTATTTATTTGGAAAGCGGAGTGAGAGAGAGAGAAAGAGGTCTTTCATCTGCTGTTTCACTCCCCAAATGGCCCCAACAGTGTGACTGGGCCAGGCAGAAGCCAGGTGCCTAGAACTCCATCCATGTTTCCTACATGGGTGGCAGAGGCCCAAGTATTTGGACCATCTTCTGTTGCTTTCCCAGGCACATTATTAGGGAGCTGGGAGTCAGCAGAGAGAGATGGATCATCCATCTACTGGTTTACTAAGTGGCCACAACGGCCAGGGCTGAACCAGGCCAAAACCAGGAGCTAGGAACTTCATCCAGGTCTCCCACATGAGTGGCAGGGGCCCAGGCACTTGGACCGTCTTCCACTGATTTTCCCAGGCGATTAGCAGGGAACTGGATCAGAAGTGGAGTAGGCAGGACATGAACCAGTGCCCACACAGGATCATGGTATCTCAGGCAGTGGTTTTACCCGCTACTATACAATGCTGGCCCCAAGTTTGTATTACTTAGAGTTCAGAGGTATATTCATTTTCTCTGAACCTTGCACACCCCTCTTCCCACCAGTGAATATTCATTCTAGCTATGCTATCAAAATAGACTACTTCTGGGGCCAGCATGTGGCTCAGTGGGTTAAAGCCACGACCTGCAGTGCCAGCATCCCATATGTGTACTGGTTCGAGTCCCGGCTGCTCTACTTCCAATCCAGCTCCCTGCTAATGCACCTGGGAAAGCAGTGGAAGACAGCCCAAGTATTTGGGCCACTGCACCCACGTGGGAGACCCAGAAGCAGCCCATGACTCCTTGCTTCAGCCTGGCCCTGTCCTGACCATTTCAGCCATTTGGGGAGTGAACCAGTGGATGGAAGACTTTTCTGTCTCTCATTCTCTTTCTGTAACTCTGCCTTTCAATTAAATAAATAAATCTTTAAAAAAAAATAGATATTTTATTTACTCAGAACCTGAAAGTTATATTACCAAGTGAGACTTGAATTACAAATACTGGCTGAGTCTTCCTAACAGGATTTTTAAAAATTATTTTTATTATTTGAGAGGCAGGCAGACACATATCTTCCATCTGCTGGTTCAGTTCCCAAATACCCACAGCAGCTAGGGCTGAGCCAGGCTCATGCCAGGAGCCCAGAACTCAATCCATACTTGAGCTATCACCCTACTGCCTGCCATGTTGCACATTAGCAGGAAGCTGGATTGCAAACAGAGCCAGGACTCAACCTCAGGGAATCCGGTATAGGATGCGGGCATCCCAAGTGGAAACTTAACTGCTATGCCAAATGCCCGCTCCAGCATAACACACTTTTAAATAATTACTTTGTGAAGTGATCTGGAGAGTTGTTATTTCCAAGACATTTTGAAAGAAAAACAATTCCTAAGTAACTTTAATTTAAAAAAAAAAGTTAGTGAGCAGCCTCTGAAGGCAGCTGTGGAGAGCATGAGGCGAGGCCTGTCAATCACTGTGTAGTGTGATAGTAATTTGGGAAGGTAACATTTAGTCAGGAGTGGCTGCTCCATAAGGAAAATGAGAACATGTGTCAGGCAGGCTCTTCTCTCTCTCTCCCAGGCTTTGAGTTACACGCCTGTGGAAGTCAAGGACTCAGATGAGAAAACGAAGAGAGACATTAACAGGTAATGTGTGTGCAGAGGGGAACCTCTGCCATCTCCTACTGAGCTTTCCGGTCGTCAGTTCCTCGTGCAGAGTGCATTTGTGTCTCCTTCCCATCCTGCAGTATTGTGTGTGTGGCAGGTTTCTGAGTGTGGCCAGTCTTCAGGGACTTATTCACGAAGGCACCATGACATCTCTGTGCATGGCTATGACGGAGGAGCAGCACAGGTGTGTGGTCATCGATTGCAGCGGCTCCCAGCCACGATTCCGTAATGCAGGTGAGCCACAGGCTCTGACGCAGCCTCACGAGCCCTCGCGAATCCCAGGACCACCTTTGCACGGAGGACAAATGCTAGAAACATAGCCTTCCTGCCTTGTGCAGTTCTACACAGCCATCCCAAACTTGCTGAAAACAACAGCGATTCTGCAAACTCAGAACTCTCCTCAGGCCTAGCAGTCCCACTCCTAGGTATATATAGAACCTCTTAAGCATGTGCACAAGGAGACAGACATGAGGATGTTCATGAAGGTATTATTTGAAACAGGAAAGAGCTGAAAACAAATGTTTATCAATAGGAGATTGATAAACTGCCATCTTCAGGTGGTGGGAGTGAACTAAAGCTACATGTATTGTGTTGGCTTTCAGACATACAACTTAGGGAGACAGCCGTTAAAGAAAAGCAAAATAACATATATGGGGCTGAGAGATACAATGGGATGTGGCACAAGTTTAAAGAAATATGTGAGAATGAAGATTCTTTCTGATAGGAAAGGAGGAACACGTGATGAGGAAGGGGCACACAGGGGCTTCAGCCACTCTGCTGGGTCTTCGCCATGTGTGAGCACACTATTTTTTAGGCCTTTGCAGAAACCCTAAATAATTCATTGTGAGGGTCTCCATAAAGAAGTACCATCTTGAGCTTTGTAGGATTTCTTGTTTAACTTCTCTAAAATATTTTGTAGGAAGCAATCGGTTTTGTGAAGAGTGGATGCAGGCTTTTTTAAACGGCGCTGAAGGGGGTAATCCTTTCCTCTTCCGACAAGTGCTGGAGAACTTTAAACTAAAGGTAAATGTTCGGCTGTGGGCCAAGTGTCCCATCCAGGGTTTGTCTGAATCTTAGTTGGTGCCAGTGGCAGAGAAACAGTCTGCTGACAGCTGTAATGCCTGTTAAATAGGACGTCCTCAGCACTGGGAGCAGCAGCAGGCGTTCCCTTTCATGTTTCAGTAGCTTCTGCATACGTGCAATTTCATTTCCAATAAATTGGGTTCACTGCCTGCTCATCTTACAACTTATGACTTATCTTAGTGGCAAAGCACAAAAAAAGGGTTCATTGCCTAAGAGTTCAGAATTCTGATAGGGCAGAGGGAGTGTTGTCACTTTGTTTAGGTGATTTTAAAAGTATGTTTACTTTACATAATGGATTGTATTGTACCAAGGACAAAGCATGTTAGCAATAAAAACAATGGGAACATTTTAAATAAAAGCAAACATCTCAGCAGCATATGTTAAGTTCTCAGCTGGATAGGAGGTTTTTCAGGCTTCCTCATTATCTCACTAAACACATATTTAACTGCATAATCTTCTTCTAGGCCATACAAGACACAAACAATTTGAAGAGGTTTATTCGGCAGGCAGAAATGAATCATTATGCTTTGTTTAAATGTTACATGTTCCTAAAGAACTGCGGTAGTGGAGACATCCTTCTGAAGATTGTCAAAGTGGAACATGAAGAAATGCCCGAAGCCAAAAATGTGGTAGCTGTCCTTGAAGAATTCATGAAAGAAGCTCCTGCCCAGAGTTTTTGATCGTGTTTTAGCTGTGTCATGAAGTCGTTCAGTCACGCTCCGGCGTTTGAAATTGCAGTTGTTATCATCGCTCGTAGGATTACTATTGAAGATCATCTGAAACATTCCAGATTCTTTCTCCTTTTGTACTTTGACATTTGAACTTAATAGGAAAATCTGAGGAATGTCTTCACCGAGGCCCAGCTGTGTTCTAGTTGCAGCATTTCAGTGTTTCACCAGCCCCTTGAGCTCTAGACTTTAGGAAAGTGTTGCTTAAAAAACTTCAGAGGTGGTTTTGTGGCTTCTCAGGAGTTTGTTACAGTATCAAGCAACTTCTCTTCCCAGAAAAAATTATATAATTCTTTCAATGGATTGTAGCTTCTTTAAAAAAAAAAAAAAATGGAATACTAGTTTTAGGACAGGCTAGCACCACTACACCATTTTGGAGATGGACTTGTGCATCCTGTGGGTGCTTGATACGTATTTTCATCTGATTGACAATAGATGGATGATGATGCCAGCTTTTATGTCAATATGCAAATAAATCATGAGTGTATGAGAAATTACGTGAGCTTTAAAAATAGATGTACTACCTTCAAGGTACAACGTTGTGTCTGGTGGATTGGCCCCATCAGCACTTGTCTTTGTTCATAGGTATTTGCCGAGAGCCTGTAGATTGTTTTTTCTTCTAGATGAAAATTCTGGAGTTTTTAAAGAGTGTTAAGAAACAGTATATAAATCTGGGGCCAGTGTTGTGGCGTAGCAGGTTAAGCTGCTGCCTATGATGCCAGCATCCTATAAGGGCACTGGTTTGAGTCCTGGCTGCTCCACTCCCTATCCAGCTCCCTGCTAATGCACCTGGGAAAGGCAGTGGAAGATGCCCCAAGTGCCTGGGCCCCTGCAGCCATGAGAGCCCCAGATGAAGCTCCTGGTTCCTGGCTTTGGCCTGACTCAGCCAGCCCTGGCTGTTGCAGCCACTTGGGAAGTGAACCAGCCGATCACTTCTCATCTCTGTCTTTCCAAATAATCTTGAAAAAAAAAAAAAAAGCATATAAATTACAAGCAAACTATAAGATGAGTGGTGCAAACAGCAGTTCTTCCTGTCAGTCATTGACTTTGTTTTTCTGTGCATTTGTGACAAACTTCAGATTGTTTTACTGAGTCAAGAGAAAACGCCCTCTGCCGGCCTCTGGGGGTTCCCAAGGAAGCCGACTGCAGCCCCACACGCTTGTTCTACCTAGCTGCATAGTGAATTTTTTTGATAATGATTTTTGTTTAGAAGATGAGAAGGCTTGTGTTCTTACTGCCCTCGGGATGCTCAGAGGAACACAAGCCTGTAGAACTGAGGAATCCTCTCTCAGCGGGATCCAAATTCACATGAAGTGCTGAGTTTTTACTTTCAAAGTGACGATGCCCTCTGCCTTCTCTCGTAAATCTAGGGACATGACTCACTGAACCATTTCTTTTCCTTTAACGAGAAGTACAATTCAGGATCTTCGCAAATGCTTTTATGTGGTTTCAAACTTCAATAACTGGGATTATAGGGAGTGTAGAAAAAAATCTAAGTAGCATGTTTTAAATGGCATTAAATTCAGGATGACTGGGAAATCAGCAATGTTGTGACACTATCCTTGAATCTGTCTAATGCACTTGGTTGCCCACTTGAAGATCAGTTTTTAAGTAAGCAACATAAGGACATCAACATTTTGAGTCTGGAAAACATCCTTTTCATTTTCACATTTGTATGTCATTCAAGAGTCCATGTTGTAAATAGCATTTAAAAGTAAATGTAAAAATAAAAATAAATGTATTACCTACTATAAATCATAAGAATGTAACATACTGCATATCACTACTATAAACAAGAAAAAAGTGTCTTGGCATTGAATATCTTGTCATAAGGAACAGAACTTATGATTCCAGCATACTCTATTCTGATTTTAATATCCTAACATATTAACCTTTAAACTTTAAAAAGTTTAAAAATGGATGTCTAGATATGGAATAAATTTATGTATTACTTACGTGCTGTACACAGATGTATGTTTGTCATGTATCAAGAATGGTTTGTTTTACCTGTAATTATATTTGTAATAATAAAATTTAACTTCTCATGAAGGCATCATTTTTACTTAATGAGCTCAATTCTCAAGTCTGACATTTTTATTAATCCCTAACAATTTTGTATGGGAAATTATACTCATCATACTAAGAAAATCCAACCCCCTGCTAGGATACACCTTCCAGCATCTTGCAGGAGGCACCAGACAGGGTCTCAGAGCAATTTCCATCACAATGTTTTATTCATTGTCCAGGGAAGTGAAAACCATAGAACTCAATAACCCAAGCCGCTTCCTTTCCCTCATTCATTATTAACAATGACAGAATGGCTGTCCCTCACCGGAGCATCACTTAAACCAGATGCCAGGAGAGCCTGCAGGCTCCGCTGACACAAGCCTCACTTTCCCGGACTGGGGGCTGCTCTGCTGCCAGAGCCCCTGCTGGCTCCCATGAAGCCTCTGCAGCTGGGCCCTGTCACTGCCAACTGTGCCTCGCAGGCCACATCACACATGCAGAAACGCTAGCCTGGAGAGCAGGGCTGGATCCGCAGCCACGGTTTTGTTGTCCACCACTTCTAGGAGGGCTGGCAAGGTGGAGCTCCTAAGTGAACTCCAAGAGAGTGTGCCACGGTTCACCACTGTTGCTGCGTGGCCCTGGCCCTGGTGCAATGAGACCAGATCCTGTCTATTTGTTGTTTAGTGTCCCTGAAATCTCAGATGCCCAAGAACCAAGAGCTTGAAGGCAGGAACCAGCAGCCGGGTGTGAATCTAGCTATGTCAGCAAGTGACTCTCTCTAAACCTTGCCCTCGGGTGTTAAGATGAGGATATTTATACCCACTTCACAGATAGTAGCTGTGAAGGGGCCGGCATTCAATATGGAGCTTAAGATACTGCTTGGGAGACCTGCATCCCATCTGGAGTTCTGGGGTTTGAGTCCGACTCCCCTTGCAATTCCAGCCTTCTGCCAGTGTGTGCAGCAGGTGAAGACTTGAGTACTTGGTCCCTCCCAATTACGTGGGAGACCCTGACTGAGTTCTTGACTCCTGGCTTTGGCCTGGCCCAGCCCTAGCTCTTGTGGGCATTTAGGAAGTGAACCAGCAGATAGAAGATTCTCTCTCTGCCTTTCAAAAGTGATTTTAATAAAAGCTCCAAAAATGCCTACCCCAGTGCACAGCAGGTAGTAGGTATGCAGTAGATTGTCTTTTTAATTACATTATTAGTGAACACCTTATTGAGTTACTGGAAGATTAAGTCTTTTTTTTTTTTTTTTTTTTTTTTTGGACAGGCAGAGTGGATAGTAAGAGAGAGAGACAGACAGAAAGGTCTTCCTTTGCCATTGGTTCACCCTCCAATGGCCGCCGCAGTTGGTGCGCTGCGGCTGGCGCACCGCGCTAATCCAAAGGCAGGAGCCAGGTACTTGTCTCCCATGGGGTGCAGGGCCCAAGCACTTGGGCCATCCTCCACTGCCTCCCCGGGCCACAGCAGAGAGCTGGACTGGAAGAGGGGCAACCGGGAAAGAATCCGGCGCCCCGACTGGGACTAGAACCCGGTGTGCCGGCGCCGCTAGGTGGAGGATTAGCCTATTGAGCCAGGGCACCGGCAATAGGAAGGAACTGGAGCAGAAAAAAGGGAAGTGGGAGGCGGTCAAGGCTAACTGAATAGCCTGTGGCTCTCCCAGGGCTGCCTTCAAATGCCTCAGGTTACAGGGGCTTGCAACCCACCCCGCCCACCAGTGCTCCAGGGGCTCTTCCTTTGGGGGAGTTCAGCTCTCCACGCTCTAAATACAAGTGGGTTCTTTGACCTTTTGCCTGCACTGCACTCCGAGTTTGTTCTGGGATGGCTTCTGCAGCACTTAGAACTATTTTTAAATGATATGCAGGAAATTAAAGTGAAAGAACATTCCGGAACCAATGCCCTTGCTGAATTTAACAGGGGAGTTGAATCCTCAAAAGGAAATTTAACAGTTGTGAATGGCAAAACTGAGTCTGCTACTGGGTTAGAAAAACGAGCAGAAACAGTTCACTTTCCCAGGCCGCGTGCACTCGGAGCCAGCTGGAGGGTTTCACTCCCCAAGCACCAGCCATCACTTCTGACCTACTCCACAGTCAGGATGGTGACAGCCCCTAGAAAGACCTATCTTATGTATATGCAAATATTTTGGGGAAGAGAAATCAGTTTCCAACACCACCTCAAGAGTTCGGTGAGGGTCTGGCGTTGCAGCACAGTGGGTTAAGCCTTCACCTGTGACACCAGCAACCCTTAGCAGAGCGCGGGTTCAAGTCCTGGCTGCCCTGCTTCTCATCCAGCTCCCTGCTCACGCACCTGGAAAAGCAGTGGAAGACGGCCCAACTGCCTGGGCCCCTGACACCCATGTGGGCAACCCAGATCGAGTTCCTGGCTCCATCCTTGGCTGTTCTGGCCATTTGGGGAGTGAACCAGCAGAGGCAAGATCTGTCTCTCCCTCTCATTCTTTCAAACAAACAAATCTAAAAATAAATAAATAAAAATTAAAAAAATAGTGATTCCAGAAAGGTTAAGAACCGCTGAGCTGGGAAGACCCACCGTGTGTTCTATCAATCGCGGATCCACCACCATCACCGTCCGCATTTCCCACCCACCCTGACCCAGCCCCAGGTGCATCAGGCTCCTTCAGGTCACTTCTTGATTAACCAGTGGCTTAAAAAAAAATCTTTAATGGAATCTGTGCTCAAATAATGTTACAACAAAAATATACAGAATGTACACCATACAAAAATATTTAGAAACCCACATGTTTCGACTCATTTGTTGCCCTTGCACGGGCCCTGGGCAGGAGGTTCTAAGGCAGAGGAGGCGGGGGCTTTGCGGCCAGCTTGGGATGGGGAGAGGCCTCCGCCGCACCCAGGGATCGGGGCAAGAGCCAGGCTGGGTGAGCGCTGACTCCCCCGACCCCTGGTGAGGACGGTTCTTATGGAAACGGCATCCTACTAGCTGGCTAGAGAGCCTGGTGGAGAGCTTTTCCTAAGGACAGGATGGCGTCGCTACGTGTGTGTCTGCAGGCTCCTTTTCCATTCCCCAGTTTCTGCGGTCCCTGGCCTGTGCAACAGGGAGCCAGCCCAGGGCTGCTTTCTGCTTCCGCGAGCCGAGGCTGAGAGGCCCCCACATGCCGCCCCACCAGCTTCAAGATTCACACCTGCTGTGCTCGCCAGTGCAGCCAGGGACCAAGGAGGTGAGAGAGGCTAGGGCTGGGGAGGGCCAAGCCCAGGGATCTGCTGAAGACACGGCCTCTGCGGCCAGCCAGGGCAAGGACTCCTGGCTCTGGGTCTTCTGAAGCCAGGCAGCTGTCCCCACTCTGCAGCCCTGCTGGGACGTGCGGGCACGGGGAGCAGCTGGGGCTGGCGGCTGCTGGAGCCCAGGCCCCTCCTGTGTCCCTGGTCTCTAAGCACAGACTTCACAAGGGCGGAAGCTGCCAGGCAGGGTTTCCCAGTACCAGGCATCCTTCAGAAGCCCGGGGGGGGGGGGGCGGGCTGCTCGAACTTCTCCCCAGGCCTCAGACCAAGGGGCAGCCCCACCTCCCAGAGGGCACCTGGTGTCTCCGCCCCTCCAGGAAGGGGCGGTACCTTGGCCGCAGCAGCCCTTGGCTGAGGCAGCAAAGTCGCAGCCCCTCCTCCATCCTTACCCAAGTCTCAGCTCCTAGCTTCAAGGCCTAAGTGTCCTCCTAAGAAGCTGGCTCTCTCGTCTGCCTCTCTCCATCTCCGCCTGCCCCCCCTCCCCCATTCACTATTCAGTCTCACTCACTAAGGCAGAGAAAGGCAAGCAGAGCACAGACAGCCGCTCTGCCTACCCTGGGCCCCCGTGGTCGCAGGCTGACAGGGAAGGAGCCCCGCGTGGGGATCCGGTCACCTGCTCAGTGCTGGGTAAAGCATGGCCTGCAGTGACACTGCCCGTTCCCGTGGAGTCACAGGGACAGAAGTCCCAGTGTCCCAGGACTCCAAACTCCTGGCCTGGCTGACCGTGGGCCTTGCTGCACGCAGGGATCCAGTGAGCACCAGTCCCTACACTCCAGCCCTTGTTCCTGTAGGAGCCCAGCCTCTGTCTCCCAGGCCAGGAGGAGGAGTGGGGGGTGTGAGGGACAACTCATCACGCCCATCTAGTTACAAGTCTTCAGGGCAGGAAAAAGCGTAAGAGAGATTTTGTCCAAGGTCCTCCTCCTCACACCCTCCGCTCGGTGCCTGCGGCTAGCACCCGCTCGGAGGTCACTCCCTCAGCCTACTTTCCCAACCCGCGCAACAGGGGTGGGTGGACTGATCGTCCCCTCCCATCCCCACACTCCGAGTCTATGGGCTGCTCTCATCTCCAGCTTCCTCCCAAGTCCCTAGAAGCCAGGTTTTCCACCCAGAATGGAATTCCCTTCACCTTCTCCCCCAGTGTTAATGGACTCGTGGCCTTGACATCCCCCCAGCCTCTCTTGCACTGCCAAACCGTGTCCTCTAAGGGAGGCAGAATGGAACCCTTCCAGACAGGAGGGCCATCCCAGAGGGAACAGGAGCCGGGGAGCCGGACGTGGCAAGGGTCCCTGGAGGGCACAGTCAGTTTTTCCGCCGCTGTGCACTGCTCAGGGGGATGTCTGGTACAGACATCGCGCTGCTCCTGCCCCCAGGCTGCTCCCCTCCCTCGCAGACTCCCCCAGTGCACTTCCTCTGCAGGCCCTGCCTTCCTCAGGCTGCCCTGTCCAGCACACACACGCACACCCCCAAACTCTGTCTCTACAGCCAAAGTGGGGGCACACAGGTGCATCAGGGCGGAGGAGAAGGAAAAGACCTCAGAACCAAGGCAGGGCAGAGGCTGGGGTGAGACATCAGTGTTCAGGAAGAAAGGGGGGAGAGCGGAAGTTCTGGAAGGCGGGTCTTCCCTGGGGTGGAACCTGCGATGAGGTTTATTCCCCCTGCTGGGGTGCTGCTGAGTCCCCCAAAGGCATGAGTGGGGCCTACAGCACAGCCCCCAGCATGTCGCCCTCCACCCAGCCCAGGCACTGGAGGCCACACCCAGCACCTGCCTCCAGGCCCTCTTCTCAGCAGAGAACACTAGGCTGGGCTGCGCTTCTCTGGGGCAGCCTGCCCGCCCTGTCCCCCTCTGGCCTGCCTTATGCCTCCTAGGATCTCTGGGGACAAGGGGGAGGGGAGAGCTCGAGGAGGGAACCTGCAATGAGCCCTCTGGCCCCACCCTGGTCTGATGTCACCATGTCATCGGAACAGCCTAGAAAAGCGACAGTGGCTCAGCCAGCTTCTCCACCAGTGCCTTTCAGAGTGGAGCCTCGGGTGTCCCAGTCTCAGCGCAGACCTGGCAGCCGCCCAGACTCCCCTCCAGTGTTCTCCCAGCCTTGCTGAGCTGCCGATGCGACGAGGATGCAGGGGCTCCCTCCGGAGGCTGCCTCCCCCTCCCCTCCCCTGCCTGTCCTCCAGCCCCTTAGGGGGGCGGCGGCAGCTTCAGGTCCAGCAGGGTGTAGGCAAAGATGTTCCAGAAGACGGCGAACAGCACGAAGACGGTGTACATGGCCACGAAAATCCACCACAGCGACTGGTCCTGCAGCCTCTGCTCGTAGTTCCTCAGGACCACCACACCCAGGGTGATGCCCACGGCCACGCCTCCCAGGTGGGCCACGAAGCTCGGGTGAGGGCACGGTGGATACGCTGACGGGTGGAAGCGGAGCCACACCGCCCGCCCAAACTCCATGCTCACTGCAAGGGAGGAAGCGGAGAGAAGTCACAGGGGGGCCCCTGGCCGGGCAAGGGAGGCCTTGCCCCCCACCTGTTCACACGCTCCCTGGGCTGCGGAAGTCGAGACGGCAAGTCTCTGCTCCCCCAGCGCTCCCAAGGGCTGACCCTGAAGCAGCCAACAGCACAGACCGAAGGCAGCTTCACAGACAGCTGCACCCAGCAGGGGCACAGGTGACAGAAAGCAATGCCAGGCACATGGAAGGGGATTCCTTAGCGATCGGAAGACTGAGAAGACCCTGAAGAGTGCCCTAGGCCCGAAGGAGAGCTCGGGCAGAAGCCCATGGAGCCTCTCCGTGCTCACGTGGCGAGTCCTCGGGGCTCAGTTGCCCCAGGCGTGCATCTGTAGCAAGACTCAGCCTCACCACGCTGGGCTGCACCAGGAGAATGCAAACTACCACCTAGTGTGTGCCCAGCACGCTACAGTCTCTGACGCATTCCCAGTGTAATAGCTCACACTCGGAGCCAGGCCCACGTGGGCAGAAAGGAGGGCTGGAGAGAGGGCAAAGACGGGACAGCCCCGGCCCCGCCATGGCCGAGCACGTCCTGACACGTCCTCAGCCCAACCCATCCTCCTTTCATGAGCTTCCTGGCTTGGCCGATCAAAGGGGTCATCTCACGCAAGGACAGGTGCCAGCAAATGGTGTCATCTTGTTACTCACCACTGAGAGAACACAGAGGGTAGGGACTCCTGTACCCATTTTTCAGATGAGGAGACCGAGGCAAATGTGACAGATTGAGAGAAAGGCCTTTGAGTGGACTTTTGTACCAGCTCAGTTACCAACTAACCAACCAGCGGGCCTCTCTTCATTCTGAGCATCCCAGGGATACAGAATCACCACTGCCCTCAAGGATCGTCTGCATCCTGCAACCCCAAGGATGACCGACAGATGGCAGGAAAGGAGCGGCTGGGGACGGACACTTGGCCCACCCCTGCCCCAGCATCCTTCCTGCCTCTGCTTGGCGGGGCCCGGGTTTAATACAGGAAGTCCCAGCTCCAGCCCAGCCTTTTCATTTCTGTGATCTTAGACTCCGACTGCTTCTAAGCAAACAGACACATGCTTCTTTTTCTTTCTTTAAAACCCAACAAACTCTGAGCTGAGCAGACAAGAAAGCCACACTCATCCTTGCCCCAACCCCGTGGAGCCCCGTGTCCTGGTTGAGAACCCACAGGTGTTAAGGTTGGAGGGTCCTCCACCAACTCCAGGACACAGATCCAGAGGTACCCACGGCGAGGGAAGGGCAGGCCTGACTTGCTGAAAGTCACGGGGTAGGAGGCAAGGCGGGCGGAAGTGAATTACAGTGCAGCCCCAAGTCTGTTCCGGCTCTGTCTTTCTGCTACCCACGCAGTGGGCTGCTGACCCAGGCGGGGAAACCAAGGCGGTACTGGCCAGTGCAGCCATAGTGTGGGCATTAGGAATGGCACGGGCTGGCTCTGAGTTCTGGCTTTGTCACCCCTTGGCTGAGCGCCCTCAGCCACGGAACTTCACTCTGTCTCTAAGTTACGCCTAGGCCTACCCTCTTCCTGAGTGTGTTCCCACGTCTCTCCTCCCACCCTCTGCTTCTGCTCAGAGCCAGCCCCTCCCATCACAAAACAAGCCCGCTGGCCTCTGATCTCACCCCCTGCACACGCACACCCCTAGTGCAGCCTGACAGGTCTCCCACACCTCCGGGCTGTCACAAACTTCCCCCCAGGGAACTCTCCATCCAGGATGAAGTGTGTTGTTTCCCTCTGCATCTACAGCCAGCCTGGATCTGGCTCCTGCGGTCTCCCTGCCTTTTCCTGTCCTCACCGCCAAGCATGGTCCCAAGCCTCACTCATCAGTTTTGCTGATGCCCCTGCACCCATCTATGTCTTTGTTTCGTGCCGCACCTTGCCCTCTTGTACCCTGTCAGCCTGGGGGACACCTGTTGGACACTAACACTGAAATGTCCCCTGGGGAGAACTGACCTCTCCCAAGTAGGCCTTCAACTCACCACAACCTGTCCATGGGGGGCTCACACATACACACACACATCTGCTGTTCAAACTGCAGATTTGTGTGTGTGTGTATGTGTGTGCGCACGCACATGCGTGCCTATGATACACAGGCATTTGGTGCAATGGTTCAGATGCCAGTTGGGACACCCGCATCATATGCTGGGTGTCTGGGTGCGAGCCCTGGCTCTGGTCCTAGTTTCTGCTTCCTGCTAATATGCAGCCTGAAAGGAGGTACTTGGGTCCCTACCACTGACCTGGGAGACCTGGCTTTGGCACCAGCTGGGGGACCTCGCAGGCACTAGGGGAACAAGCTGGAGGACTGGTGTACTCTGTTTGTCCCACTCTCAAATAAGTAAAAAGGGAGGGGGAAAAATCTTTTAAACAGGGGATTTCAAAAGGCCAACTCTATGACCCAAAAGGTTAAGAAAGTATTTTTCCTGATCTGGGCGCAGGTCACTGAGCGCTCTTCTGTTTGCAAATCCTGGATCAACAAGCAGTTGACCTACAGCACCCTGCAGACCCTGTTATCTCACCCATCACTGGCAACTCCCCCCAACCCCATTGTATTTTGACCACAAGTCCCTAGCGGGCAGGGTGTGTGGCACCTCTGTATCTCCATCCAGGGCCTGGGGCCAGACTCCCTGCTCTCCAGCCCGCCCCTCGCCCCTCGGTACTTACTACAGATCAAGGCCACAGCCATCCGCAGCAGCTTGAACTGGCACTTCATGCCCGACCAGTTCTAGAAGAGAAAGAGAGAGGTCTGTGAGGGGCCGAGGGCTCCACTCAGCAAGTCCAAACTCTGAAAGACGCCATTTCCCAGGAGTCCTCAGTAAGAGAACACACCCGCGTGGCTTGGCGATTCCGGGCAGCTGAGGCTGTTATTCAAAGCCCTCAGGCTGGGGAGGGAGAGTCGCTGCCTCCTCCCTAGGGACAGGCAGCCCCTGGGCACTGGGTGTGTGAGCTGCTGGGCCCCAGGGTTCTGAAAGGAAGCCCCCAGAGGCGAGACTCAGAGGTCAAGGTCATTGTGGACAAGCAGCCAGTGAGTCAACACGAGGAAAGGCACATTCATCCGTGTAGACCGCGAGCAGAAGACTCAACGGATGGACTTCAGAGAGGAAGAGAGAGAGGTTTGCTTTAGCTCTGGGTAAGTTTCCATTTCTAACAAGCGGATGTCTGAAGATGGGTCTGTCAGAAGTGTCCCATCACAGAGGGCTCCCTATGGGATCATCACAGCACTGGGCGGGGCTGGAATCAGGAAGGGCGGAACAGGGTGTCTGGGCAGGGTGGATAGCTTTCAAACCAATCCCTCTCTTCCCAAGCAGCTCAGAAACCCAACCTCCACAACACATAAACAGAGTACAAACGCCACCCTTACAAAAGACTTCGCCACGGGCTTCCTTGGAGGGGCACTCCTGCAGGCCGTTCAGAGCATGCTCCCAGTGACACAGACACGGAAGCAGCCTGCAATCCTCCGGGAACACGTCGGCCACGCGGACGGAGGCGCCGGGCACAGCCGGCGGCTTCTGTTCCCTCCCGCCTCCCTGTCCGCCTTGCGCCTGGCCTGGGCACAGCTCCAGGACGTGTCTCGCACGCCTTGGAGGCTTCAGAAACAGACGCTGAATGCGCGTACAACAGGCAAAGGCTTCGGCCGAGCGAGCCGGACACAGGGAAGCCACCACACAGGAGAAACCCTCGTGGCACTGGCTTCCTGCCCGCCTCGTCCCTCCTCCCCATCACCCTCTGTTGACCAGCCCCACCAGTCCATCGTGTCCAGGAGAGGGGGTGACAGGCAGCCTCTGTAGGTGGAATGCTTTGCCTTTGCTCTCTGCTGAGGGGCAGATGGCTGGATGCCACCGCCACCTTACTGCCACCTGCCCAGAGAGGAGCCTCGCCTGGCGGCGGGGAGAAAACAGGAGTCGGCCCCTGCACTGGACCCAGCAAGCCGGCCCAAGCCCACTCAGTTTGCTGGCAGTGGGCAGTCCTCGGCCTCTGCCCAGACTGAAAGCCTAGGCTACAGGAACCTCGGGAACCACCCGCTGGGCCATCTTCTCCTTGAGGGCGCCAAGGAGCTGGCCCTCCTGCCCCGGCTGTGCAGCTCGCCGGCCGTCTCCCCGGAGGGCTATTAAGGAAGGGTTCTCTCTGAGAACGCTCCTTGGACTGTGCTCCCTCAACGTCTGCCTGTCCATCCTAATTCTCCCTAAGGGACATCCATGCTTGTCATTCCCAAGGGCAACTTGAGCACCCATCAACAGATGGGTGGCTGGATAGACAGATAAAGGAGACACAGTGTAGACACACAATGGAATGGGATTCCTTCCTAGAAAGGAAGGGAGGGGCCAGCGCTGTGGCGCAGCAGGTTAACGCCCTTGCCTAAAGTGCCAGCAACCCATATGGGCACCAGTTCGAGTCCCAGCTGCTCCACTTCCCATCCAGCTCTCTGCTATGGCCTGGGAAAGCGGATCGGCACAGCTTCGGCCGTTGCGGCCAACTGGGGAGTGAACCATCAGATGGAAGACCTCTCTCTGTAACTCTTTCAAATAAATCTTTAAAAAATAATAAAATTTTAAAAAAAGAAAGGAAGGGAATTCTGACACAGGCCACGCCATGGATGAACCCTGACACCATTCTAAGTAAAATTAGCGAGTCACAAAAGGACAGATACTCTGTGCCCACGTGAGCTATGGAGAGTAGTGGAGCTGAAGCAGGTGGGAAGTAGAACGGTGTTTACGCAGACCAGGAAGGGGGAGGGGTGGAGAGCTAATGCCAAATGGGTGCAGTTTCACTTTTGCACAATGAAGAGTCCTGGGGATGGATGGTGGCAATGGTCGTACAACAATGTGAATGTTAGGGCCAGCAGTGTAGTACAGCAGGGAAAGCTACTACCTGCAGTGTCGGCATCCCATATGGGCGCCGGTTCATGTCCTGGCTGTTCCACTTCTGATCCAACTCTCTGCTAATGGCCTGAGAAAAGCAACAGAAGATGGCCCAAGTGCTCGGGCCCCTGCAACCCACACGGGAGACCCAGATGATGAAGGTCCTGGCTTCAGCCTGGCCCGGCACTGGCCATTGTGGCCATCTGGGGAGGGAACCAGCAAATGGAAGCTCTGCCTCTCCCTCTGTCTCTGTAACTTTTTCAAAATAAATAAATAAATCTTTTTTTTTTTTTGACAGAGTTAGTTAGTGAGAGAGAGAAAGGTCTTCCTTCCGTTGGTTCACCCCCCAAATGGCCGCTACGGCCAGCGCACTGTGCCAATCTGAAGCCAGGAGCCAGGTGCTTCTCCTGGTCTCCCATGGGGTGCAGGGCCCAGGTACTTGGGCCATCCTCCACTGCACTCCCGGGCCACAGCAGAGAGCTGGACTGGAAGAGGAGCAACCGGGACAGAACCAGTACCCCAACTGGGACTAGAACCTGGGGTGCCAGCGCCGCAGGCGGAGGATTAGCCTAGTGAGCCATGGTGCCGGCCTAAGTAAATCTTTTTTAAAAAAATGCAAATATGCTCAAGGCCACTGAACTGCACGCTGAGAATTAATACAGTAAATTTCATGCTATGTGCATTTACTACAATTACTAACAAAAATGATACAGCACAATTCTAATATCCCTTTTCCTTCTAAAAACCTGTGAACATCTTATCTGAAGACGGTGTCTCTCACCGTGCTCTCTGTAATGTTATCAGGCACAGAAAGTTGGACTGTACTGACCGCTGTCTCCTTTAGCTGTTGCCCCATGTCCATGGTCCATGCTCACTCAAGGCTCTATCTAGGATTTTTTTTTTTTTAAGATTTTTTTTACGTATTTGAAATGTGTGTATATGTGGAGGGGAGAGAGAGCTATCTTCCATCTGCTGGTTCACTCCCCAAATAACTGCAACAGCCCAGGCTGGCTCAGACCAAAGCCAGGAACTCTAACTGGGTCTCCACATGGGTGTCAAGGCCCCAGGCACTTGGGCCATCATCCACTGCCTTCCCAGGTGCACTAGCAGAGAGCTGGATGGGAGGCAGAGCAGCCAGGACAGGAACCAGCGCCATATGGGATGCCGGCACTACAGGCGGTGGCTTTACTCGCCATGTCCCAGTGCCGGCCCAGAGTTGTTTGATAAGTTCTGCATCTGAACGACCTTGGACAGAGCCACAGGTTCCGGCTTTTCCACAGCAGCTCGCAGGCCAGCTTCACCAGTACCTGCCCAGCCGTCTGCCCTGCTGTGTAGGGAGGGAGGCACTGAGGAGCCAGGGGGATGAACCCTAGGTGGCAGGCGGAGAGGTTCCCCGTCCAGCGCTGTCCACCACGCTTCAAGACAAGGTCACAGCCCATCCGCCTACGCTGGCTGACCGAGCTGCCCCCAAAGCCGAGCGAGGGTCAGCAAGTGACAGTGTCCCAGCAGCCAAAGGGTTAAACTCGAGTCACCCCTTCCCACCAGCCGCCTGACACATTATTCCTGCCAATGAAACAACAGGAGAGAACAGAACCTCAGCCCGCACTGCTGCTTCTAGAAAGGTGGAAAGGCCTACGGGGAACACAAACCTTTTGCAGCCTCTTTAATTTCATTCTCTCCCAGAATCTCACAGGCTGAGACAGCCAACCACCGGAAACCAGCCCCCTCGGCCTCTTGCTCACCCAACCAGATAAGAGCTGAGAGCCTAGAGCCCGGGCAGGGAGCTTCCATTCCAACACAACTTCAAACATCCCTGGTTGAAAGTGTTTCTCATCTCGAACAATTGCAGGAGAACCCAGCAGAGGAAACGTGGAAGGTGGCTTAGACCTAAGAGGCCACTGTCCTTTCCTGGGCTTGGACAATGTGGTTCCATTGCCAAAATTCAGATCTCAAACATTCTACAGCAGCATCCACCATATGGGGCAAACTGTAAAGTAACATCTTGTGTGTTTCAAAACGGGAACTCTGGCCCCAGCAGAGGGCAGTTACTAAATCATTCAATTATATATGGGTCTTTGTATCTCCAGCATTTAAAAGAGGTCTTGGCTGTAGGTCTTTCTGCATCCCAGATCTTTCATTAGAAGATCTTCTGAATTCAATGCCTTCAAGCTTTTTGGAAACTCCATGCATTTTTGTGAGAGAATAAGATCTATTTTCACTCAAGAAAGAATCTCTCGCTTAAAAGTCTCAAGAACACAAGTGTTGAACACTCGGGTGTATCTGACGCAAAAAGAAGAATCCGTTTTTCTGACTCTGTATCTCTCTGGCAGAATTTACAAACAACTCTACATACAAGCGAAGCGTATGTACAAATGTGTACACACACACGTGGGTGAGCAGGGTGGTGACCTCCCAGTGGAAGGCCCGCTTCTGTGCCTTCCTGACCACGGAGGAGGGAGCTGAGGCCCCCAAGGAGTTAGGGATGACAGAGTCACAGCTACGAAGAGGCGATGGCGACTCCACTCCAGATCTCCTGATTGTCCAGGCTGCTTCTGCCTTCTTCTCTGTGTGTGCCTGCCCCACATCTTCATTCTGGACTTGAATCTCTTTAGGCAGAACCGGACGAAGTCACCTGTGTTTCAGTGGCCCTGGCCTACAGGAATGGCCCCATCCTACAGTTCAAGCCAGCGCATGTCTGAGTGGCTCAGACTGGGCTGCTTTTCATAAAGGTGGCCTCCGCATAAAGAGAAACTGGCCTTTGCAGTGAGAAAATGAGGGTTTCTGTGCTTTTTCATAAATACCTTCTCTAACCAGCATGCAGTTCTGGAGGAGGGCAACCCACATGTCCTGCTCTGGGGGCTGCAGGGTCCCCTGCTGGCAGAGGAGCGCTGCTTGCCTCTGGGAAGTCTCTGGCTTTCAGATGGGACCGTTTGTGTGCACACAGGCCAGGGGACTTGAACTCCAAACAACTCTGCTTCCACAGCCACCTGCACCGCGTGCCCTGCACCGAGTCTGCCCTCACCAGGGAGCTCACGGTGCACCAGGGCTGTGTCCCAGGAGGTGGCAACAGGTAGGGACAGAGCACCTGCGTGGACTCCTGTTTGTGCCACCCCTTCACTGTGTAGTTCCTCCCCCTGCCACACACATCTTGGGGGGCCGGGAGGGAAGAGGTTAGCCTCTCCTGCCTGGCTGAAAGGAACTGGGGCAGGAGGAGGGGGAGTGGAGGCAGCAGAATTCGGAGGGAAAGCCGTGTCTGGGGAAAAGAGGTGGCTCTGATAGGAATGACCCATTTACCAGGGCCGGGCGAGGCAGCCCTGCGCTCTTGGGGCTCAGCAGGCTGACTGCGTGTGCATGAACGCAGGCACACACGCTGCCCTCAGACCCGCGCGTTCTCCCGCGCTCTCTACCACCCCGAGCGCTCGCTCATGGGAACTTGTCAAAATTCAGGCCAGCTGTGGGTGTGGGCACTCTGGCACTGCAGCCCCACCCCTCCTCTTCTCCCTGTTCTCTTTGACAATGGTCACAGCACATTGTCAGGAGCTGGGTGGGTAGGACAGGGACCAATGACGTGGAAGGACAGAGAACTCCAAAGCTGGTGCCTGAGCCCCTACTCACCCAGCATCCACCGGGCCAAGGCAGGGATGGCGGAAGACACCTGCGGCCCCGACAACCTTTCAGAGTCAACCCAACCGCTCGCCCCGAAGCCTTTGTCTGCTCTGAGCCCAGCCTGGCCTCTTCTGTGAGGGGCATGGAGTTAACATGAGGTGGTTGTTTTCACACCATGGCACTCACTGCATTTCACCCCATTTCACAGATGAGAAACAGAGGCACACAGCAGTTCCATGCCTTGTCCAAGGTCACGCTTCAGGAAGTGAGGATGGGATCCTGAGGAGGCTCCATGGCTACGCCCTTGACCATCACACTGCACTGCCTTTCAGGAAAAGGTACAGGGAGTGTGAGGAATCAAATGGTGCTGCCCCTGTGACAGGTGCAGGGCTACAACACGTGAATGCCTGTCGAGAGATGGGGGTTCAAGTCCTGATTCTGCCACAAACTTTTGACATTGGACACATCACTTAACCTCTCAGCCCTTCCTCTCCTATTTGAAGAAATGATCTTCAAGGTCTAGTGGTCAAATTTTAAACGTTTTAAAGTCGCTGGATGGGAAAGAAGAGGAAGGAGGACACATTCACAGCCTCATGGCCATGGCCAGGACGGCAGAAAATGAACTGCACATGGAAGGGACCCACCCCAGGAGAAGCGTGCGTGAACCGTGCCGCCCGCAGGTCAGCCTGCTGCCTGATGGCCCACGAGGGGCCGTGCCAGCAGATGGACACCCAGGCCCAGGGACCGCCGAGGGGCGCGTGAGACAGACGTGCTGGGAACAGGAGGTGCTCACCATGACGATGTTGGCCAGATGGGCAGACACGAGCGCATACACCCCTCCAGAAGAGCCCACGACGGGCGCCGTCATGTCAGCCACAGACACAGCCAGGGACCCTGCGGCAGAAAGACAGGGAGACCTGTAGAGGCTCCAGGACTCAGGTCCTCGGCCCCAGCCCCAGCCCCAGGCTGGGATTCTGCAGGTGCCGTGGGAAAGACTGGAGCGAGAGGCTCCTTCTCTTCCTGCTTTGATGCCCATGGATTTCCTAGAGGATTCATTCATGGCTGAACCGTCTGACTCAACCTCATTTCACTGACGGGGAACAGAGGCTCAGGGAAGGAAAGCGAGCAGCCCAAAGGAGAACTCAGACTGCCATCTGGGCCGCCCACCCGCCACTGTGCTGGCCTCAGGTGGGTTCTGCAGTGCTAAGGAGAACAGCAGCGGCCGGTTACTGCAGAGCCAGCTGCCTCTGCCCTCTGCCCTCAGCCCTGAGGCAGCCCTGCGAGGGGTGAGCAGCCTCACCATGGAGACAGGAAACAGCCCAGAGCCCTGGGTCGGAAGAGCTGAGCTCACTGCAAAGGCAGACAGACAGACAGGGAGCGCTCTCTCACCCAATGGGTCACTCCCCAGGTGCCCACAACAGCTAAAGCCAGGAGCCTGTAATTCAATTTGGGTCTCCCACTTGAGTGGCAAGGACCCAAGTACGTGAGCCATCACCTGCTGCCTTCCAGGGTCTGCGTGAGGAGGAAGCCGGAATCAGGAGCGAGGTGGGGACTGGAACCCCACGCAGGCTCTTCACTGCTCGGCCAGATGCCTGCGCCCACACCATGTCCTTGACAAAGCCCGTACCCTTGGCCTCTCCAGCAGCCTTCCCCAAATGGGCACAGAGGTTAACCCCACTGTCCTCTATGACTGCCTCTGCCACCCCCCGCTTCCTCTGGCCAGCCTAAGTCTCAGGAGGCCGAGAGGCCCTCTCGAGTGGGCGTCAGTGGAGGGAGAACGTCCTTGAAAAGTCTCTGGGAAGAGCGAGCAGTGATGTCATGCCCTCTGGGGGAAAGGACGTGGAGGACTGTTGACGTGGGGATGACAAACTCTTGTCCTGGGAGGGAGGCTGGGCAGAGAAGAGATGGGAAATTTATTGTTCTGGTCTCATTTAAGTGTGATCAATGCTTTGGCTTCCAGGGAAGGACACAGGAGACTAAAAATAACCAGGAGGTAGAGCCCAGGGCTTGGAGGCCGGGAGGCGGCTGGCCCCGACCGCCACGAGAGATGCCCGCAGGCGCACGCTGGCCAATTAGAGAGAGCAGGGACACTAGGAAGCCGACTTGTGCAGCGTCTGTAGGGACGGGGGTGCATGGGGGTGGGGGCTGGCCCAGGAACCAGGCCCCCCTCAAGGACATGGATGTGAGGCCCCCACCCCGTAACAGAGCCAGTCCCCACCTGACTCAAGGTCTCTCTGACCACTGAGATTCTTCAGGGGAGCGAGCCCCACGAGCAATCCTGGTCTCCACAGGGACAGGATCTCGCTGAGAAAAACCCAAACTGTCCCCAACAGGGCTCCAAGTCCTCCTGCCCTGCCAGGGCAACCACAAATCTGTCTTCTCCCTTTCAGGCATCCCTCTGGCTTTAATTAGGTATTGATCTATTGTCAGATAACTTTCTTTCTTTTTTAATGGCCTGGCCATGGGGTCAGTCATATATAACAGGGGGAAAAAAATTCCAGGGAGGCAAACAAGGGAAAAAAAAATTCCAGGGAGGCAAACAAGTCGGCAGCGGGATCTGCATGACAAAGAGTTCCCACGCTCAGCTCACTGAGGCAGGCTTCAGGCAGCTGCATCGCCCGGGCTCATTCACTGCCTTTGCACAGAGCAAGGCTCCCCCATTCCAGCCCAGCGTGGCCCACAGAAAGGAGGCATCAGGTCAGCCCCCAGGCAGGGAGGGGCCCCGCTAGGGTCAAGCCCATGCAGACACTGACCCTTCGCTCACCCAGCCTCAGTTTGCAGTGTGGACCTGAGGCCCAGGGCTCAGCTTGGGACTGTGGCAGAAATATGGAAAAGGGGCGTGGCTGCCTACTTGTGTGACCTTGGGCGCAACCCCTCCATTCTTCGGGCTTCGCTTTTGACCTCTGTGAAATGAGGAGCTCTAAGGTTCTCCAAGTTTGGAGCAGCAGCAGAACCCTCTCTTCCTTTTTATTTTTTTTAAACGTATTATTTATTTGAAAGGCAGAGAGACAGATAAAACAGAGAGAAATTTCCCACCCACTGGTTCACTGCCCAAATGCCTGCAACAACCGGGGCTGGGTCAGACTACAGCCGGGAGCCAGGACCTCTGTGGGGTCTCTAGGTGGGTTTCCCAGGTAGGTGGCGCTCAAGCCATCGCCTGCTGCTTCCTGGGGCCTGTGTCGGCAGGAAGCTGGAACTGAGAGCAGAGCCCAGACTTCACCCCGAAGGCTGATACAGGACGTGAACATCCCAAGTGGCTTCTCAACCACTGTGCCAAATGCCCCCTCCAGAACTCTCTTTGCTAAAGAAACCCTCCGGAGACCCCTGGCACCTGGAACAGCTCTGGCTGAAGGAAGATGCAGCCTGGGGGGCAAAGCTGGCTCCCCACGGAGGGGACCCCCAGCATCCCTTCCAGATCAGGAACGCCACGGTCTGGGTCTTCACAGAAGATCCAGGGCTGGGGCTTGCGTCCTGCACTCACTGGCCCTGCTTTGTGGCATGAAGGCTTCCTCCAATTCCTGCAGAGGAGCCCTGGACAAGAAGGACTTGGGGAGACCACAGACAGACACGTGCATGGGCAGATATAAGTATGGCAAAAAGGCCCTTCCTGGGTGGGCGCCAGGGCAGGCAGGACCCCTTTTAGAGGTCCGAGGGACCTGACGGGCAACAGTGCCACAAGGCCAGTGTAACATCCACAGTGGCCGTGGGCGCACAGGACTAGGAGAGAATAGCGAGGTGTGTTGTCGCCCCACACCTCTGCACCGCACAGACCAAGGGCCTGGTCTTACTCAGGGCTGTGACTTTCCCCAAACAAGCCCTGGGTCCTTGACAGGCCACGGATAAACTCATGACTGCTGTGAGGCCATGCAGGGTTGTGATAATTTTAGCCCAGTTTTCAACCAGGTGTTCTCTAACACCTCCCTGGGAGGTAAAACAAAACAAAACAAAACAAAACAAAAACCCAAATGAAAATCAACAGAACTCCTACTTTCAAGCCATGTAACTTTACCATGCATCCTTTCATTTGTTCTACAAATACTTATCACCTAGCATGTGCTGGGCCCTGGGGGACACACCTGTGGCCTAAAATCTATATAATCTATAATGAAACTTGGTGATGCATCTAAGACCCTGGATGTTACGGCACTGAGGTGTTAGCCATAGAATCGTTAGCTTACGCCAGTCACAAGCTGGCTGCAAGCGTTGGTTCGAATCACACAGTTCCCCCTCAACCCCGTGACTTCTTGGCTGAGCAATTCGGGCAGGCCACTGCACCGCTCTGAGCCGCCCGTGAGGCGGGGTGTTGGTACGCACTGCACAGGACTGCTCTGTTGAACGCAGGTGATCACATACGCGAGCCCTCTGTCACACGCCTGGGGCGTGGCAGCTGTTCAGGAGGGCTTACCTGTCCTTGCTGCCAGACGTGATGCCTTGGTTTAGACCCCTTTCACCACACAGGACCCAAGTAGGGCTGGGTACCTGCGAAGGCCTCCCGTGGCCGCTGACAATGAATGACCTGCCCGAGGGGAGCGGTCTCCCTCTTCGCTCTGTTTACACTGTGGAAGCCGTTTAGACCCCAGACCCAGCTGCAGTGCTGGCGAGCGGTGTCTTGGCGGGCGAGGCCCTTGGCCTCTAAGCCCCAGGTCCTGAATCTGCACAAGGTGGACAGGCGTCCTGCCTGCCTAGAGGAACGTGATGATGACACTCAGCCTGCACACGGAGGGCACTGGGATCTCCCGGCTGTCGTGCCAGGTTCCGGCCACCTGCAAACGGGCATCCCTCTCTGAGGAGGCAAGCCAGCGGATCAATCACCTCAGTGTTGGTGATCAATGACGTGATATGCAGTGACCAGAGTGTCCTCTGGTCTGAATCGATGACTCAGAAAGGTACACGCCACTGGCCGTCTGAGACAGCCTCGCCCCCGCTTCTGTGAGCGCACCTCCCCACTCTGCATCAGCACCACGGGCCGTGACGCCTGCACAGTCTCCCCACTGCGTGTCATCTGGCTCCGATGAGATCTGAGTCATCCCGCACCTTGCTCTAGGCTACCGGCACTCCTGGGTGATGGAAGTGTTACGAGTGGCTTCCCTGTTGCTCGCCATTTAACATCTGGGACTCCGGGTATCGAGGTACGGAACACGCAGCCAACAATCCCCAGCCACCAGACGCGGGGGGGGGTGTGGGTGGCTGAGCGAGTCTGGCACACAGGGACGCTCAGGAGGCCTTGGCTACAGGATGTGGAGATGGAGATCCGGGGAGAGGCTGCGGGGTGCTGTCCAAGGTGGCCACAGTTCTGAACGTCGGCACATGGCGGAGGCAAGAGTGCTGGGTGGATCTCCCAGCCCAGGGTTCACGGACCGGCCTGACGTCGGGGCAGAGGGCCCCTTCCCTTCCGATTTCTGAAACCCCTTCAGTCCCTCCCAGGGTCCTTGCCTGACTGTTGTTTACAAGGCCGGCGCTGGCCGGCTCTCACGACGACAACTTTAATGCCACTCAGAAAGGATTAAGATCTTACTTAAACATACACACAAAGCTCCCTTGGGCCCAGCTGTCAAGCTGAAGAGCTGCGGCGGCAAACCTTGTTTTAAAAAAGCCAGCGGTGAAGCTGGGAGCGTCACGAGGCAGCTCCCTCTGCACAGAAGCCCGGCGTGGGGGAGGGGCGGAAGAGGCAGGCGCTGAGCACCTGCCACGGCCCCAGCGTGCCCAGCCAGCCAGAGGCCCTGGACCCAGATGGGGCAGACTCTCCTGTCAGCAGTCAAGGGGACGGTGGCTGGTCCGGGGGGAGGCAGGAGCTCCCCTGGGACACAGGAGCTGCCAGTGCCTGGGAAGCACACCGGGCTGCACGCACACCTCAGGAGCCCCCACGAGGTCTTGCTGGCCCCTGGCACGGTCTGCAGAGTGCTGGAATTACACCCGCCCGTCTTGCTCTGCCTCCTAACAGTTCTGCAGGCAGATCTCAGCAGTCCCCTCTCGGGGGCAAGAAAAGACCCAGGAACTGACCCCAGGCTCAGCCAGTAACAGCGGGGCGGCGGGAGGATGGAGCCTCCATCCCTGCCCGTTCCATCACACCCCTTCCTCTGTGGGCGGCAGCCCCCTTCCAGCCCCTGGGGAGGCGGGGAGGTTTGCCACGGGGCACAACCCCAGTAGGCAGGAGCTCTGGTGATGTCGGGGGTCCTCTGTATGCCCTGGAAGCCTGGGGTCCACCCTGTGGGTCGACCCCACAGATGA